AAACAGTTTGTTATCAATCGACAATCTGTGCTGTGTTTTGATTGAACGCCTCACTTTCAATGTGTGTGGGTCCTAAAACGATGCACGGGTCAAAGTGTCCCAAAAAAACAAATAAAATCTAATAAATTAAGCACTTTGTATTCTCTTAATGCGTTAGAAATGTGGCACTTGTAAGATCGTAGATAACTTATTTTTTAGCAGTTCGTATAGGACGTGTTTATGAATTATTTATAATGCATAACAAATGTTATCCAGTCTTTAATGTTAAGTACTTAAGGACGCGATTTCAGGGCAGATTTTATTACTACATAAAATACTTTAAGACTACAACATTACATATATTTTTATAGTTTATCGTAAGTAAGTTCTTTATCAAGATTCTGATGTTATTTTAAGAACACAGGTGTCACTTGATTGATGAATAAATGATTATGAATGATTAAATTCGCAGACAATGTCAAAGAGATTAAGTTACATATTAATTCATCTGTCTAATTAATTATCTAAGAAAACGAACCTTCTAGAACGAGAAAAGCATACCTACTTCCTGGACTGACATACACCTACTTAAATGATAACCAAAAACAGCGATTAATCATAAAATCAGTGTTGCTAAGGAACAGTTTAAAACTACCTATAAATTATAAAATGCACAAAGTACCGTCTTCTCTGAACAAGACGTTAATGCAAAAATGTGACGTATATGCGTATATATAAGTACTACAATTTAATTAATTCTAAAGAATGTCATGTCTCACGATTCTCTAGCAGGAAACAAACCAGGTACTATGAATGACGAACACAGACTTCAGTATCTGAATATATTTGTAATTTCACAGAAAGCCGGTATTTCTGTATGCCGTAGAAATTTTAAAATAATTCCTTTGTTAGGTTAGTTCCTGGATAAACAGTATGAAGGTAGATTCAGATTTGTTCGTCAAAAATTAGATGTTCTAGATTCTTTCTACTTAAACTGACAAACACCGCGAGGACACCGGTGACCGCAACGTATTGTTCTTTAATTGTGTCTATAATGACGGTACTCAAAGGGTTAAATATGCATTCTTATTGGTATAATCTTAATCTTTCTTATTAGCTACTATAGAGGGTAATTGAAAGATTTATATTTGTTAATTAGTTATGTGACGTGTGCTATGAAAACTCAGGTTTTAGTACGCAAAATCAACTAAAATAGGTACCTAACAATATTAAACTCAATATTATAAGCATTTACCTACTTATTTCAGTACCTAGTTACTTATTGAGTCATTCTAACAAACTATGTAGGTACTACCTCCTAATGAAATATTTTTGAAATAAAATCGGGAATAATTACGGCAATGGTCTGTCTGGGAAAGATAAATCGGACATATTATGCCAATGATGACTACCAATCGTAAAACTGTGTTTATAATTAGTTAATTACAAATTATATTAAATATACCTAGGTAGTAATGTAATATTTAATACAAAGTTACCTATCATATTTTCGCCTCTACCTACATTGATTTATAATTCTAAATAATTCTGTGTTTCATGTGTAAGTACCCTATTAGTTTTTTAAAAGAGGCAAACGAGATGACGTCTCGGTAAGTGAACAACGCCACCCATAGAAAACCGCGACACCCTAAAAAGTGCGTTATCGACTTTCTTGGCTAATAACTACCAACAGCAATTGCATAAAAGAGTAAGGTACTTTTAAAAAGTTTTACTTAAAAACAAAACTGCCTATCTATTAGTAAGAAGATGTGTGTAAGTACCCACCTACCGAAGTCATGTCACCAACGGTTGGACCGAGAAAAGTATTCAAATTGAAAATAAGAATGGAATACTAAATAGCGATGCGTTCAAATTCAAACCTCAATGGACTACGGAGGCATTCAAATTAGTTTTCGGAAAACCGAATTCCGACTAGTTTGTCTACATGTATGCGAGGTTCAAGGCTGTTTTAATCAAATTGCATAACCAGTTATTTCACAACATTTCACAGCAATAGATAGATAGAGCTTGAAGCCAGACAGTCCTTGACCGTTGAAAGTGTTTGAAGCAGATGGATTAAATACGTCAAACAGTCGGATATTATGTTAATTATTTTAAAAATAATAAAATATTTAGATGTTAGATACCTACTTGTTGGAACTAGTTATTTTAATAAAATAATCTTTACGTAGGTAATCTTTTAAACGAAACGTACCTACTATCCCGATCGATAATCGATACGGTAATTGATATTTTTAGTGCCGTTTTGATTTTCTAAATAGATACCTAGCTAATTCATAACTTATTACAAATCAATCTTACGTTTCTTTTTGGTGAGAATCAAAGGTAGGCGAATTTTAATTAATAAACGTGAAAATACGTTATTCATCTTATTAGAGCAATTACACTTTAAAATGTTTAATTTAACTCTGATTTATAACTAAACGGCAAATAGGTATATTTTATATCACACTAAAAAATCGGTTATAAAATAATTCGTAATAAGTTATTGTTTTTCATAAACGACGTCTAACTTATGGATAGACGTTAACGAAAAGATAATAATTAATAAGCTAAACAAAATACGCAAAACTAACAAAATTAAAAGTTTGACTTGAATTACTTTTGATCCAAGTAACGCCATCTACATCTTTCGCAAACAATTTTAACTATCACTACTCGCCACTAGATGGCACTGTTACAGAAGCGCCATCTAGTACAACAATACAAAATAAAACTAAAACTTACCGTTAACGCCACCTAGCGGCGAATAGCTGAACAAGTATCTCACTTGCTAAGCGACAATCCAAACAGCGCCATCTAGCGAAAGAACACTGCATCCAATGTGCACTTTATAAACACAAACTGTTGACTACACATTTCAATAATTTATTATTAATTTCTCACGTTTTGTATTGGTCGTTTGCACAATTTTTGTTAAATTCGTTCACTTCATGAATATTTTTAACACATATTTTACACTGGCACATGTGGTATTTTTTTATAATATTTATCTGAAACAAAAAGAAAACACATTGTTAATTATAATATTTAGAACATATTGGCAACAAAAACAGAGAAGTTCAGTAGACAATAACTATAGAATCATATTGGTATTTCACTCAGACTGTAGTCTGTAACAACCATACAAGAATATTTGACCTACATAATCAATATTTTTAATTCATCAACACGCCATACTTTTAGAAATTACAGTAGACAGTGCATTATGAACAGAGAACAGTAACATTATCACAACACATCATGGGACTTCTCAAATCTGACGCAATATGATATTAATATCGGAAATGTGGGAACAAGCACATGGCGCAAACACCAATTAATTGTTTACAAATTAATGTATAGGACTTTATACAACTATCATAAACTTTTATATAGTAGGTTCTATAATTGTAAAGTAGTCTTAGAAGCATGCAGCGTGACAATAAATTTTGATGACGAAATATCCAATATCTGATTGCCATGCCAAAAGTATCAAGATAATCGCCATCAATTATTGTTTTTAATCTTTCGAAATGAATTTAATTATATAACATAATGCCTTTATTTGTGTCTGTATTTATAATATAAAATACCATACTGGAATATTATTGTTAATTATTTATAATCATAAATTAATATTACGGATCACATTTTAAGAGTTCTAAAGATACAGAAGGCTTTTTCTTAGTTCTAAATAATTGGATTTTGTTGTGTAAATGAATTAAGAAGTTGACAAACATCATATTGCCTATGTGGCATTTCCACATGTTTGTAAAATATTTCTGTAGTGAATGCTATTTATGTTAGATGATGAATATGAAATTGAAACCACAAATCATGGTCATTTAGTATCTGAAATCCAACCAATAATTGACAATCAATATAATTGTTTATATTTATTTTTTAATTAGGTTCAATGCATTACTGGTTCTGTAAACTATTGTCACACAAGGTGCCATTGTAAATACAGATGGTTTATAAATAGAAAAAATAAATATAAACATTATGACCTTTCTAGAATGTCCTTCAAAATTTAACTTGTTTTTTTCTTCAGTTCACTAGTTTTTAAGGCAAAAAAATAATTAATACGTACCACAAACACTTCATCCAATGGAATACTAATTGAGGATACGAATTTCATGATGACACAGAGATGTAATAAAACAACCAAAGTATTTTCCAACCTAAGATTTGAAACTTATACTAACACTGTTGTACACACGTTTTAAATAGGATACACCGAAAAACTGGGCTCGGGCGGTGACTGTTGCGTAAATAAGACAACTCTTATGAATCTAAGGTCACCTTGCAACATACTTTTAAACTGAAACTTTACAATTAGCCTGAAAAATGCAAGCACGTGCACATAGAAATGCACCTATTATGCACTAAGTAATTTTGTCACAAAATTTTACTAATTCACACAGTAGAGGGGCCTAATGGGCGTCAATATAGCACAACGAACCGGTAATTAAGGGTTTACAGGCAATTTAACACGTGAACTTTATAACCAATTCGAATTACAGCGGCTGAAAAAACTACACAAAGAAAACATATGATCGATCGAAATTGAAGTGCACATGGACTTGTCTATGGTCGACCTCCTGTCAACTTTGAGGAACGGGAAATGAATAGACTATAGAGGACCATCCCAAAGATTGAAATGGTTCAAAATATTTTTCCTTGTGCAATTGAATTTTTACTAGATAATAATAATTTTTAATAGATAACTTTGTTGAAATAAGTTTTATTCTTTTAAACGTAAAGATTTACTCCTCAACGAATACTTCTTTTGAGTTGCCAACCGTAAAATTAAACTATTTGATTATTCGCATGGATGAATGGAATATTGTTATTAGAGAAAATAGTACAATAAGTATGTGAAATACAGATTAAATTACAACGAATGATCTTCCGTAAAAATCTCTAAGTAAAGCAAGTACTTACCATCAAGTTGTTAATAGCAGATGTGAGGTGGTAACACTTTACTTGTGTAGTGTAAAATACATGTAGGATAATCACGGCGTATTCAATGACGTATTTAACGACGACTTCAATATCTACAAAAACAGATATGTTTTACTTTCTATCTAATAAAGAATATCATTATTTTAAATACTTATAGGGCCTGTTTCACAATGTTTCATTAACTAATATCTATCAAAAGGCCTAATATAAGTTTGTTTTACATTTAATGAGAATAAAGAATTACAACGTTTAGCCCTCCGATTGGTTGGTTCATTGATGCAGGCCAACCAGAACGCAGAACGAACCTTCATATAAGGAATGTTATTATAATTATTATATATGACGTACCTGCCACTTACATTTTATCGGGTAGAATAGAATAAAAAACACAAAGCACATACATTTAGATATCGACAGCAGTCTTACAGAAAACCTTTGGGTGGATATGCAGTAAGGGAAAACATAGATATACTAATTAAAGGTGGTGAAATGGCCCTTGAAGATTTAAGAAACTTACCGGCTCATTGTCCACCCACAAACTCCCAAACTCGGTTTCGAATTTATCGACTATTTTCGGATGTGATGTAACAATAACGCTTTCATGATTTGAAACCATTGCATGGGAGGACCAGTTCAAAGAACCAGACATTACAAAACCTGTGACTTTGACCTTAGCCTGGATTTTCACTGGCTTTTTTGTTTCTTTCGCATGAGAATTTAACTTTTCGGCTTGAGCTTTTAACAGTTTTTTCCGATGAATGGCTTTTGGCCCGTCAACAATGCAAAATTTGTGGTGCATTAAAATAGTCTTTTTACTCGGCTGCACTTGGATGAAACCTGGAAAATAAAACATTGATTTCAAATAATTATGTTATTAACTTTTTATGAGAAAATGGTAGAAGTAATAGTACATAATTTTCAACTTACTGTATTCTTTTAACTTTTTAATTTGTGATGGTGGTTTGAATGCCGTTTCACTGTCAACAACTATTCTTATAATGACATGTCTTTGTCCTAATCTTATAATTGCTTCTGCTATTTCTTTGCTAGTTATTAGATACATACACACGTCCAATGTCTCACGTGTGGTTTATGTATGTGAGTAGTTTGTAGCAATTTAAATCTCTACTTTCACATATTAAAATATCTTTTGTTGGCGGTATTCTTATTGAATGTCGAGTCGCATCGTTTGAGAACACTATCACGTCGTTTATATCACGGTTTTTAAGATTTTGCGAAACTTCGCACATGCCGTCACTTGATTCCTCACGTTCATCATTTCTTGGATTAAAAAAATAGTTGTAAGCTTTTTTTACTATTTGTGTAGCGACAAACACAGTAGCAGTTGACAAAATAAAAAATTTCGCTTTTTTCCAATCCATCGTTATTAACTAGTTACTTTAAAACTAACAAATTAAAAATAAATTTTTAGAATATCAATAGTCCACCATATCGTCCACGCATGTAACGTAACTAATTTTGCTGGTCACAAATTGATTCAGCTTTTTTTTCTGGTACCCTCAAAATCAAATGTAAAACAATGTATCTCTCTATGACATTTTTTCAAATAAAACTTATTTTATTAATTTAAATTGTTAATTAAGTCATATCAATTAAGTTTCGATTAATATTAACAAGGTTTTTAAAGTTTATTGAGTGAACTGTAATTCTACTTTGACATTCTGCATAGTTAATATTGAGGCAGAATGATGTAATGTCCGTTGCCATTCTGTTATCTTTGATTTAAAAATAAATATACCAACAACAACAAACGGCAATTTGATATTTTTTTCAATATTAATAATAAAACTGCCTCTGCAGTATTTATACTATTGTGTTCTTCTATTTTTTGTGAAAATATAAGTGCTTTTATGCATAATTTATTTTTAAGTTTAGTATAAATTTTTTAACAAATTCTAAAATTAGCTATGTGTTACATGGATTCTGTGCGTCGCATTTAAGGAAATCTAAGATGCCTAAAATACCGTATAAACCTGAAAAAGCCCGTGAGGATGACGATGATTACGAAATTGTGTCTTTTGAAGACTTCTGTGACAAGTCTCCTGGTTCTAAAACCGACCTATTGACGCTAAATGATAATATAAACTATCGTCTTTGTTACGAGAGTGATAAGAATTCAAAATTGACTGATTAGAAGGTGAGAGCTCCAGAGCTGCAGACAGACACACGGAGACCTCTCTAAATGGCCCTAAAGGTGTTACATTTAAGAGGAAGCTTTCAAATTCGTTTTCTCCCTTTGGGCGATACAACAACAAAGGAGGCAGAACTCCACTGTTCAGCGGAGTTATTCCTAAACCAAGAAATGAAGGAGAGTCTGGAGCAAGGGAACATAGGTATGTTGAATAGATGAAATTCATACACAAAATCCTACACCTTTGTTCCGTGGATGTGGAAACCACAGAGTGCGAGCTGGTACAATATTAACATACTTTCTCTGCTTTCGTCATTCGTCACAATCAATCACCTTTACCTTTTCAATATAAGACACCAATTTCAGTATAATTTGTACCTGGCTTCTTTTCTACGTACTTAATTTTACCATAATTTACCTAATTTTAAAACAACTTGTCCAGTGTCAATAATTTGATCTGTACATTATTAGTTCTTGTAATTTATGATAGACCATTATTTATACCTAACTAATCTTATATGTTATATACATAAATATTTTCCATCCTATTGTTGGGCATAGATATGTGCAGGTTTTGCCAATGATCAAGATTCAAGATTTAAGTTTTATGTATATTTTTATGATTGTTTTTGCATTTTGTGGGCTCCTATAATTGTGTATCACACAGCTTTCAATTTTTTGTGTATTCTCCAAGGCCTCCCCTTTGTCTCCCACATTGTCTAAAAACCTGCAATAGTTATTATTGATATAACATTAATATAATATCTACTGCATAAATCATCTCATTTATTGGAATCTCTCATAAATTATAACTAGAATGTTCTTATCTGTGTTTATCATGCTATAGAACTTATATATATTTTTCTATCATGCTCATTTACTATATCATATGAAATTCAAGAGTATGTTTATTTGGTATACGCACACTGAACTAGCGACCCACGACCCACCCTGGTTTTAATCCAGAATTTAATTAATTCATTTTTCTCTACACTTTATTATGCATGTACATATTTCACATATACATCTTTCTTTTGAATTACTCCGTCAAAATTTGTCAAAATCTGTTGCATAATTTTAAAGATCTAAGCATACATACACTCAGAAGGTACAAAGCGACTTTGTTTTATACTATATAGTTAAAGTGAATTCCTCAGGATTCACACATATTTGAATATTAACTCGTCAAGTACCGGTTTTATAGACACAATTAAAGAACAATAGGTCGTGGTCACCGGTGACCGCTTGGTGTTTGACAGTTTAATTGCATTTATTTTTTTGTGAATAATATTCACTTACGAGTTAAAAAAGAAGCATGGTCCTCAAGGCTGCAAAGTATAACAAGTTATAGGGGCTTCCGTTCAAAGCAGAAGTAGGAATAGGGTAGTTTTTAATCAGTAAGAGTCTGACACTCCCTCTCACCTTGCCCAAGGCTGAAAAACTCAATGGATGATGAGTGGGGTGATAGGTGGGGAACCACCTAAAAAAGACTGCAAATTATTTTTATTTATTTATTCAAGGCTTCATGGATAGATATATTTACATAGGTGGGTTTAAGTATATGGACATTCTCTTTCGCCCAAACCTTTGGGTGACGCAGAGACAAAACGATAGCAAGACGCAAGCATATACAAGTAAAGTATATGTGTGTTATGCAAGGTAAAACAAAGAACTTTAGTATTATATAGGTATTTACTACAAACATTCCAGGTCCATCATTATTCATTGTTTTTGAATTGCCGCTATTTGAACACAAAACAATCACTAACTCACTGCAAGAAGATTCAAAGTTGAATAGCAATATTAACTTTAGACTTTGTGATATGATTAATCATACATTTAAATTCAACAGTAAACATGAACTTTGATTGTGTAATAAATTGTCTAATATCAAAGTGATATAAATAGCAACATTATTCCCATTTTACGATAGTCCGTGCAGTTCTGTTTGCCTGTGTTAGAACTATCTTGCGTGCTTTGGGAAGCAAATATGAAAAAGTTTGTGTATTTGATTTATTATTGAAATCTATTTAATGTGTAATTTTTGTGTAAAAATTATTTTACTTGGTTTTTTTATTAAACTGTCAAACACCAAGCGGTCACCGGTGACCGCGACCTACTGTTCTTTAATTGTGTCTATAAAACCGGTACTCGACGAGTTAATATTCATTTTGCTACAACCATCCTCTACAATTGTGTAACGAGTTATCCATCTTACTATCTCACTAATATAATACATAGTTTGTGACTCAATCACATCAAAATGGCTACTTTATCACACGGGATTTATAAATATAGAAATCTAACCAATAACTGTTGACTATATAACATAACATCACACCTTTTATCCCCAAAGGGATAGGCAGATGTGCACATTACGGCACTGTACAATGTAACACCCACTTTCCACTATTCATGTTATGAGTCCCATGTAATAGGGAGTGAGCCTGTTGCCATATACCGGAGACAATTCCAGACTTCGTGCTGCCACTGAGAATGTTTTAAAAATCCAGTAATACTTTGTCTGATCCGGAATCGAACCCGAGAACCCTTGCCGGCAGTCGTACGTGTGCGACCACTCGGTCCACGAGGTAGTGTTGACTATATAATAATATAAGGAAGTAAAGTTGTTTACTAGCTTATTACGCTTTTTGCACTCAACCAACCTTTTTACAGAGGGAGTCATACTGTACTCTTCAATTAAAAGAGGATAGCATTTTTTTAAATACATTTTTATTCAGTTTTTAACTGAAATTTTGTTCTTCACAGATACCAACGCTTTTCGGAGCGTCGCAACATATTCCAACGCATCTGGGAGCACTTGCCCGGGCTAGGATCAGGCATGCTGGGCGTGGCACTGGTCTGTGCGCTGTGTGTGGGTGCCTGGTGGGCTGTAGGTGGCGCTGTCGGAGGTTCCTGGGGAGAAGAACATTACAGGTTGGTGGCGAAAAAACTAACTATACATTTAGTATGTTCACTGCTAACTGAAGCATCAGCTTAGGCCACGGGTCGCGCATGCAAATATTACGCTTATTTTTTTATTTTTTTTTATGGCATAAGCCGGTAAACGAGCCGACGGATCACCTGATGGTAAGCAATCGGCGTCGCTCATGGACCACCTGGAACACCAGAGGCGTTACAAATGCGTTACCGGCCTTTAGGATTTTGAGGATCGTTGGGGATTCAGGGATTTGGGAGATTGGGGAAGGGGAGGCGAAACAACGCAAGCGTTGCTTCACGTCGGTTTTCTGTGAGGCCGTGATATCATTTCGGTCGAGCGTTCACAATACTTATTTACTTATAACATTCATCATGAAATTACAGAAAACTCTGGGAGAGAACACATCCAGATGCGATCAAGAAACCCCTGTCACCGATGCCATATGAAAAGGTACTTTATTTCAATTTACATACCAATCATAATCCAATACCTCCATACATAAGTGAATGAGATATAACTAATAAGTAGTTTCCTATACAGCAAGCACCGGAGTACCGATACCATGATCACAATAACTTGAGTACGAAGAACAAGAGTAATGCTACGGAGAGGAAGAAGACGGACCTGAACAAGAAGAATGTGTACCCCGAGAGGACCGTGGAAGTCCTTCAGGATATGTGCTCCAAGGTCGATGAAATGATGAAGTTCGATTGTTTCCCTCAAGGAGCTTCCAATGAAAAGGATTGTGTTAAACGAGGTGAGTTTTTGTAATCTTGCCAATGTACAAGTGTGGAAGATGTCATACTTCGTCACGAATGGGTCGGCTCGACCGGAGTGTTACTACGGCCGAGCTACCAACGTGTAACAACGCTTGCGTTGTGTTTCGTCGTGTGAGTGATGTTGCCGGAGGCCCAATTAGCTCCCCTGCTCAGTCTCCCCAATCCCCGATTCCTCCACAATCCTCAATTTCACAATTCATGTGAACTTGTATGTTTGTAAACGCACCCACGACACAGGTGAAAATCCTAGTTTGGGGCAACGTCTTAAAAAAGAAGGTAGGCAGAGGTGCACATTATGCCACTGTACAATGTAACACCCACTTTTCACGATTTATGTTATGAGTCCCATGTAATAGAGGATGAGCGTATCGTATTGCCATATACGTTATATATACCTGGCATAAAATCCAGACTCCGTGCTACTACTGAGAATTTTTTAAAAACCCTCAGCCAACGAGGCAGTCTTTCTATAGATTAGCGTGTTTAAACAAACAAATAAATTCTTCAGCTTTAAGATTTCTTTTCGCTCCTGACCTTCTGCACGTTTTATGTAAAATAATATGAATGCCTTACATCCTCTCTCATTAGTCTACTGTACGATAATTATTTAATTAGTTTTGTGATTTATACTGCAATAAACTCGCGTGCACACACGACCTTCATGTAAAGTTGAGTTCTGCTGTTTTTAACCGACTTAAAAGAAGGAGGTTCTTATGTATGGAGTTTGTTTTGGACGCGTACAGCAGTGGACGTCCTATGGTTGATATGATGATCTCGCGATTGACTGACCTGATTTTAATGCGATTTTAGAATAGTTCTTTACACTTTGGGGAAGGTTTTAGAATATTAGTTAACTAGAAGTCGGTTCAAAATCATTTATTTCAATTAGACCAGAAAGGCACTTTTGAACGACAAAACAAAAATATTGAAAACAAAAAACAATTTCAGTATGTCGGTCAGTCGGTCTAGTTGCTCTATTTGCTCGTTCCAAAGTGTAGAATCCTATGGAGAAGAACGAGCAAAAAACTCCGTAGGTTACTCTTTTTCAATCAGTTTCGTAATATAATGTTCTTGGTTAGGTTAGGTTAGTTACCTCCAATAATTTTGTTTACTATAACGACTAATAAATATTATATTTCCAGGATGCTGTTGGAAATCAACAGAGACTCAAGGAGTGCCATACTGCTACTATCCATCTCACTTCGACTCCTTTCGATTCCTAAACATAACGGAAGACAAGCACGGTATGGTTGCGTACTTGGAGAAGGTGCGTCCGTCAGGATATCCAGGAGACTTTGATGTCGCTAGGATGGACTTCAAGTATTTGTCTGATGATGCTCTGCAGATTAAGGTGAGAAGTATGCTAAGTATTAAGTAGTCAAGTCAGTAAGTATTGTTTAGCTGGCCTGTCTGAAGAAAACGACTTCTTCACTCTCAACGTCATCAACGTCCCATAATAGTAATTGCTGGATTATGGCTCTTTTTTATATTTGACTAACTTCTGCTTGCGACTTATACGCACAATCCTAGTTTCTTCCGTACCCGTAGGATTTTCAGGACTTTTCTGTTTAAGAACCTTCTCCTAATAATTACAAATACAACAAAAAAAGAATTAGTGATATGGACCAAGCAATTCACGGGTGATGCCGTGAACAAGGGAAAAAGGGATTCATTTTTATATATACATATGTTTAGATGGGCCGACGTTTGACCACTATCTCGCCTTATACTGTTTCCTCTTAAAAGGCGGGTTCCTTTAAAAGGTTTATGTAAAATGTATACTTGTGTCTTGGAGTCTTATACTTGTCTCTTTTGCAGTTTGGATGTCATTTACGTCTCAATTGTACACGTTGGAAAACTTAAGTTATTTTAATTTTCAGATCTATGACGCAGAACACAAGAGGTTCGAGCCGATACAGCCTGAAATATCGATCGTGTCGAAGCCTCTCTCACAGAAGAAGTACAGGGTGGAAGTCGATGGGTCTCTTATGGGATTCAAAGTCATCAGGAATTCTGATAATGTTACTATGTGAGTTCTTTTATGGTTTACATATTGTTTTTTCACTGCGAACTAAATTTCAGTATTGATTATCGAAATTAATAAATTAAGTAGTTCGATTTTGAAACCATGTAAACAATTTTAGATATTTTTGACATTGTACAGTACAAAAATCTTTAATTGATTAGTGCTAGTGCACACGCGCAGTCGTAAATTTTAAGTTCCTTTAGATATAACCACTTCTCCCAGTTATTTTTTTTTGGAGTACATGATATGTTCATTCGGAATTCAGGGATTAACTTGTCGAGTACCGGTTTTATAGACACAATTAAAGAACAATAGGTCGCGGTCACCGGTGACCGCTTGGTGTTTGACAGTTTAATAGGTGCGAATTACGACAGCATGTCATATTTTTTTTTATTGAATGTTGCCCGCATATCTTGATGAACACAAATATTTTTCATTTAGTGATAAAGTCCTCTTATACTTCTAGTTTTAACTTCAAAACTCATACACCATATATCCTTCTTTTCAGTGTAAACAGCCAAGACGTAGGCGGTTTGATTCTATCAGACAAGTTCCTGCAACTGTCAGCTGTGTTACCAACGAGCCATATATTTGGACTCGGAGAGAAGAGGGCGCGGTTCATGAATGATGTCAATTGGAATACATTCGCATTATTTAATAGAGACAGGGTGCCTACTGAAGGGGTTCGTATACTCTTGATAATTTTACTGGAGGAATATTCAGGAAATTCTTTCTTTGTTTAAGGCTAAGGACTCACGATGTGAATTTTTGCCGCGCCCGCTGCGGTTGCTATTGTTTGCGGCTCCCGTACGGTACGGCGGTAAAACAATCAGGGCAGCGGGCGGTAAAACAATCGGGGCAGCGGGCGGTAAAACAATCGGGGCAGCGGGCGGTAAAACAATCGGCAGCGGGCGGTAAAACAATCGGGGCAGCGGCGGTAAAACAATCGGGGCAGCGGGCGGTAAAACAATCGGGGCAGCGGGCGGTAAAACAATCGGGGCAGCGGGCGGTAAAACAATCGGGCAGCGGGCGGTAAAACAATCGGGGCAGCGGGCGGTAAAACAATCGGGGCAGCGGGCGGTAAAACAATCGGGGCAGCGGGCGGTAAAACAATCGGGGCAGCGGGCGGTAAAACAATCGGGGCAGCGGGCGGTAAAACAATCGGGGCAGCGGGCGGTAAAACAATCGGGGCAGCGGGCGGTAAAACAATCGGGCAGCGGGCGGTAAAACAATCGGGGCAGCGGGCGGTAAAACAATCGGGGCAGCGGGCGATAATCGCTACCGCGGCGGCTGAAGGATCGCAGATAACTGCCGCCACTGTGGCGGATGCGGGTGATAATTGCGTCGTGAGTCCGTAGCCTTAGAGCACCGCTATATTTTCCAAGGAATATTCATGTTTTTTTTTACTACTAGGTAGATCTTTTGGGAAAAGCTTTGAGTTTTCGACTTTTCGCCAATTACTTACAAGTTACATTATAATATTGACCTATAACTGTCAAATCTCCATACTATTATATCTAACTTCTACTAATTTCTTTATGTTTTTCTCCTACTTATCTTTGTAAATACGGTCCCGTATATTCTAGGTGAACCTATACGGCACGCAGCCATTCTACCTGGCCGTGGAACACGACGGCAACAGTCACGGCATGCTACTGCTCAATTCTAACGCTATGGGTATGGTACACCCTGTATATATTGCACTGTTGTTTGTTTATTGTGAAGTTGATCTTATGGTTGTGCTGTTATGGTTTAATGTTGTTTGTACAGTGTACAATAGTTAGGTTTGGTATTTAATTTAAAAAGAGGAACTTTGTTTTTATTGATTTTTAATCTCAGCTTTTCTTCTAACATCACGATTACATTAATTATTATGTTTTCGGCGTACTCACGTAATAATTAATTTATGTCTCATGAAAGTTTTATATCACAATAAAATGTTTAAAAAAAAGTTTAAAATGCATGATCTTCAAACGTATGTGTAACTAGCTACTTTCGCGCGGTTTCACACGCTCTGCTTAGCTCCTATTGATCGTAGCGTGATGTTTTATAGCCTATAGCCATCCTCGATAAATGCGCTATCCAAGACAAAAAGAATTATTCAAATCAGACTTGTAGTTACGGAGATTGGCGCGTTCAAACAAACAAACAAACAAAAAACATTCCACAACTTCCGCTTTATATAATAGTATAAGATTAACTAGAGTTTCAATTAACATAGAGTGCGCAATTTTGCAACGTCAAAACCTAACTTAAATCATTATTAAGTTTCGTAAATAAGTAGCTATTTTTCAGCCTACAAAGACTGAAAGATCCAAATAAAATAATCAAAAATAAACTTTCAGACATAGTCCTCCAGCCGACGCCAGCCATAACATATAGAACTATAGGTGGTATTCTGAACTTCTTCATCTTCCTTGGACCCTCGCCCAAGGAGGTAGTAGCTCAGTACACGGAGCTGGTCGGCCGACCGTTCATGCCGCCTTATTGGTCGCTTGGATTCCATTTGTGCAGGTAAGAAAATTGATACATAACATAACATCACGCTTTTGGTCCCCGGGGGTAGGCAGAGGTGCACATTATGTCACTGTACAATGTAACACCCCTATTTATGTTATGAGTCCCATGTAATAGGGGGTGAGCCTATTGCCATATACCGGGCACAATTCCAGACTCCGAGCTACTAATGAGATTTTTTTTAAAACCATTAGTACAATTCAACCCGGGAAAAAACAAGTGATCTCAATATTCAGCGATCATATACAAGGCAATTATAAATTTTGGTCAGCTATGTAGTAAACCGCTGTACCATACTTAACTATAAGTGGTGCTGGCAAAAAAGATAAACTAAAGTAAGATATAAATCTGTTCATACACATCTTGAAATGGTTTTTAGTGTTTTCTAAACATTGTTTTGTGTTTCCAGATTCAACTACAACACAGTGAACGCTACTAGAAATGTGTGGAAGGCTAACAGGGATGCTGGCATACCTTTTGTAAGTTTTATTCTTTGGCACCTACATTCTAGCAATTTCTACACCTAAATAAATGTTTTAAATCATATAACATAACATTACGCCTTTTATCCCGGAGGGGTAGGCACATAATGCCACTTGCTGTACAATGTAACACCCACTTTTCACTATTAATGTTATGAGTCCCATGTAATAGGGGGTGAGCCTATGCCATATACCGGGCACAATTCCAGACACCGGGCTACTACTGAGAATTATTTCAAAAAACCAAGTAATATCTTACCAGACCCGGTAATCGAATTCGAGTGGTCAGTCGAATCGCACCGCACTTGTGACCGATCGATCAACAAGGCACATATTTTAAATCTTTAAAGGATAAATTGAAAGCTAATGATGATGTTTAACCTTTCGTGTGTCTAAGACGTGGATCCACTCGAGACACAATGTATTTTCTATTATATCTCATATCGGTGCATTCAAAAGGAGGTTCAAAAGAAGGCCAACACTAGGTTCACAACTCTTTGCTGAACTGTATAATAATAAGAATAAGAATTTTATTTGCTACTAGCTTTTACCCGCGGCTTCGCTCGCGTCACAAAAGGATAAAAAGCCAATGTGACATATACCAATACACACAGCGCCATCTATACCAATACTTTTGTTTTCCCTCGGGAATATCAAATTTTTCCGGGATAAAAAGTACCCTATTATTTAATCCAGACGTCTAACTATACATCTGCAAAAATTTAAAGCAATCGGTTTAGTAGTTATAGCGTGAAGGCGGAACAAACAAATAAACAAACAAACTCACTTTTTGATTTATAATATTAGTAAGGATAGGTCTCCTAGTTAGACTACGGGTTTCCAGCTAGTACCAACAATACCATTGTTCTTATTAAGTAAGATTATTGACTATACGTACGTACACATTATACGTATACATTATTCTTTTCTCCCTGGTAGGACGTGCAATGGAACGATATAGACTACATGCACGACCACAACGACTTCACATACGACACCAAACGCTTCGCAGGACTACCCGACTTTGTCAAGGAGGTACACTCCGAGGGAATGCATTATATGATTATTATTGGTGAGTATAGCATTATGTTGCTTGTTGTTATTTATAAAGGGATGAATATTGCCTGGTTATACAATGACTGCTTATAAAAGGTATTATGTGAAACGAAAAATGTTAACATCTTTTTGTATAATTCTTTTATGAACTACGTTCAAAACAATTTACTTCAACCCCTTCTTTTTCTGAACGTTCTCCTAAGTGTAACAAATACTTTTCTGAAAACCGCATCAAAATCGGTTTAGCCAATCGCGAGATAATTGCACAAACATTCATACTTACATACATACATACATACCAGGTCAAACTACGAACCTACTTAAGTCTGTTAAAAATAATATTTTCTTCAAAATTAGCCTGTATTGCTTACGCAATAAAATAAATTTCAGATCCAGGTGTGGGTGCATCAGAGAAGCCTGGCACTTATCCACCTTACGACAGAGGCGTCGAGATGGACATATTCATCAAGAACTCCACCAATCAGATTCTTATTGGACAGGTAAGACGTTGGTTTTTTTATAGCATAAGCCGGTAATCGAGCAGACGGATCACCTGATGGTAAGCAATCGGCGTCGCCCATGGTCACCTGGAACACCAAGGCGTTACAAGTGCGTTACCGGCCATTTGGAAATTGGGAATTTGAGGATTGTGGAGAATACTAAGGAACTAACTAAGGTTATTGGGCCTCCAGTAACCTCACTCACACGACTAAACACAACGCTGTGGTAGTTACACGTCAGTTTTCTGCTCATTGGTGGTATCACTACCGAAGCATGGCGAGCCCACACTTAACCTCTTATCTGCGCCATGAGACATAATATTGTGTCTCGTGTATATCTACGCTCCCGGCATACCATGGGTTAAATGGTATGGTAAAAGAATATCCTATCTAATATTCCTTTTTCTGATTCACTCTCATGATTGGATTATATGGTCACTTAGAAGAGAAGGCAGTACCTACTTATAGGTACTTCAAAAAGAAACTTTCACAATTCGAATATATGAAATACCACACAGTTTATCTAAGATTTTGATCTTGTTGTTCTGGTATTTTTATTTAGTATGTTTGAACCGGATATTTCTTCTGCAAATCGTATGAACAATGTCATAACCATATAAAACATAGTTTTTCAATAATATTCTTCTTTCCAGGTGTGGAACACAGGTCAGACAGTGTACCCAGACTTTACTCATCCGAACTCCAGCAGTTACTGGCTGGAGATGATGTCCAACTTCCATAAACATGTTCCTTACGACGGGGCATGGATTGTAAGTAACTTTTACCGTAATTACAAGTAAATTTTTTTAGGGTCCTTTAAAATGAACTTAACCTAAACTTATGGGGCGGGATGAAACGCCCGGGTGTTATCACTGCGAGGGCCGCCCTGAGGACACGGTGGAACACACAGTGGGAGAATGCCCTGCGTGGGCTGAGCACCGCCGTGCCCTCAGGGAAGTGATCGGCGATGGCGACCTCTCGCGTCCGGGCCTAGTGCAGGCCATGATGCGGAGCGAGGGGGACTGGGATGCCGTCTCCTCCTTTTGCGAAGCAGTCATGCTAGCTAAGGAGGAGGCGGGACGCGTGAGGCAGCGAAGCGCTGCCTCCTCGCAACCCAGCCATCGCGAAGGACACACCGGGCGTCGGGGATCGCGGGACGATCTCCGGCCACCGTAAGCGCGGGCCTGCGGACGGCGAGCATGGGTGGCTCCCCGTCCGACCAGAAACAGAACGGGGTGGTTTTTAGTCAGTAAGAGTCTGACACTCCCTCCCGCCTCACCCAGGCGGGCGCAGTCATTCGATGATTTTCCCCCCTTAAAAAAAACCTAGTAAACTTTCTTCTTATTGGAACGGTTATTAACGTTTTGATCGCCACGAAGCGCTTCGCATCAAGCTTCCTCATGTGTACTGCTAAGGAGTGGAATACTCTGCCAGAGTCTGTATTTCCTGAAGCATACCTGGGTGTCTTTAAGGCCCGAGTGAGTAGGTTGCTTATGGATCGACGTGCTCCATCGTAGTCCGCATCATCGCTTACCACCAGGCGAGATAGTGGTCAGACGTCGCCCCATCAAATATATAAAAAAAAAATCGCGGCGGTCAAAGGGTTAAAAGGGAATAATAGTTAGTTTTTTACATTAGTCTACTTCAAACTACTTTGATTTTAAGAGATTGTCGGAATTTTTTCATGTGACATGCGCTTTTTAATTTGTATCGATTGAGTATTATTTATTGGTGGTTCAGTGTACAATAAATGTAGTTTTGTTCTCTCTTTTTTAAAAAAAACGTCGCCCCCCATTAGGATTTTCTCCTGTGTCGTTGGTGCGTTTACAAACATAAAGGTCACATACACATGACACTCAGACCCGAAATAACAATTTGTGGATCACACAAAGAGTCGTTCCGTGTGGAAATCAAACCCGCTACACGTTGCGCTTTGGCTACCGGTTGGCGCGGTTAGCCACCGCCAATAACTATAACTAATATAATATTATTACACGCTACATTTTCGTACATTTTCCAATGTCCAGGACATGAACGAGCCGTCCAACTTCCGCGACGGCACGGCGGTGGGGTCGTGCGCCCCCGAGGAGCTCCCGTACCGGCCGCGCACGTCGGACCCGGCGCTGCGGACCCATACAGTCTGCATGGACGGGCGCCAGTACGCGGGCACACACTACGACCTGCACAACCTGTACTCCTACACTGAGGCTGTCGCTACCTACTTGTAAGTATCATTCCGGCCGCGCACGTCGGACCCGGCGCTGCGGACCCATACAGTCTGCATGGACGGGCGCCAGTACGCGGGCACACACTACGACCTGCACAACCTGTACTCCTACACTGAGGCTGTCGCTACCTACTTGTAAGTATCATTCCGGCCGCGCACGTCGGACCCGGCGCTGCGGACCCATACAGTCTGCATGGACGGGCGCCAGTACGCGGGCACACACTACGACCTGCACAACCTGTACTCCTACACTGAGGCTGTCGCTACCTACTTGTAAGTATCATTCCGGCCGCGCACGTCGGACCCGGCGCTGCGGACCCATACAGTCTGCATGGACGGGCGCCAGTACGCGGGCACACACTACGACCTGCACAACCTGTACTCCTACACTGAGGCTGTCGCTACCTACTTGTAAGTATCATTCCGGCCGCGCACGTCGGACCCGGCGCTGCGGACCCATACAGTCTGCATGGACGGGCGCCAGTACGCGGGCACACACTACGACCTGCACAACCTGTACTCCTACACTGAGGCTGTCGCTACCTACTTGTAAGTATCATTCCGGCCGCGCACGTCGGACCCGGCGCTGCGGACCCATACAGTCTGCATGGACGGGCGCCAGTACGCGGGCACACACTACGACCTGCACAACCTGTACTCCTACACTGAGGCTGTCGCTACCTACTTGTAAGTATCATTCCGGCCGCGCACGTCGGACCCGGCGCTGCGGACCCATACAGTCTGCATGGACGTGGCATTAATATTAAGTGCCGTAATGTGCACCTATGACTACCCCTCTAGGGATAAAAAGCGTGATGTTATGTTATGTTACTTAAAAGTTTAAAATCAGTTTATAGAACGGGGCTAGGCTGACGGACAATAATGACTTACTGCATTCTTAACGCGAATGTACTATAACTTTATCTTTCTATCCACAGCTCGCTAGCAGAGATCCGCGGCAAGCGACCGTTCATAATATCTCGTTCTACGTTCGTGGGGATGGGCAAGTACTCCGGACACTGGAGTGGAGACATCGCCAGTGACTGGCATGACATGAGGATGACTATCCCTGGTGAGGAATATACATACTATACACATATACAAAGCCATCAGACCACCACAGATGGGGCCCAACAGTGCCGATGCCGATTCGGAGTCGCGGAGAACCTAACGGGTTACCGGGGCTCCGGCTCGACGTGCAGGAGAAGGAATAGGGTTGTTTTTAGTCAGTAAGAGTCTGACACTCCCTCCCGCTTCACCCAGGCGGGAGCATTCGATGATTTTCCCCTTAACAAAAAAAATACACATATATACAAACAACACATCAAGTTGCCCCATTGAAAACGACCATTTTTTGCGCACCACATGGTGCTGTTGTATTGTAGTGTGAGGTCTGTTTGTCCAATCACTGTAGCTTGCAAAAATTGTATGTCCTATGGTTTGACGTCATGCTATTATTGTACCATCTAGCAAACTAGGAAAACGGTGACCCGTATTTGTGGAACTTTAAAGATTTTCTTTTTTACAGAAGTAAATTTGAATTGGGTAGTTTCCAGTGTATCAAAATTAAAAATATAATTGGTCCGTCAGTTAGATAATGAAAAAATATTAGACACGTATTTTTTATTTTCTCGTATTAAGTTGCGATACTTAGATAAAATAGCGCTAAGTTTAGGAGTGGGAGGTTGTTACGTCAAAATGTGACACGCTGTGACGTCACACGATATTTCAAATTCGTCGAAAGTATTTAATTTTGTGAAAAAAGAAAAAAAATACGTGTTAAAACTTTTAAATTAATGTACCAGAGGGACAATAAAATAAAATTTAGGAAACTACCCTATTGTAGATTTAGAAGTTTAAAGTCTAATAAGTTATTTTCTTCTCTCAACCCACAGAGTTGCTAAGCTTCAGTCTATTCGGTATTCCAATGATGGGCGCCGACATATGTGGGTTCCGCGGCGACACCTCCACCGAGCTCTGCAAGCGATGGATGCAACTTGGGGCCTTCTATCCATTCTCCAGGAACCATAATGATGATAGCTCTAAGGTAAGCCTAAGAAACCAGGGCATAGAAAATTGAATTAGTGAAATCTTTACAATTTCTATTCTGCGTAGTGCCCAAGCTTCTGTCATAGGTGATCGCTCTCCACTTACTTCAATATAGACCATACTAGCTTTTACCCGCGGCTTCGCACGCGTCACAAAAGGATAAAAAGTAGCCTATGTAACATATACCAATACATACAGCGCCATCTATACCAATACTTTTGTATTCCCTCGGGAATATCAATTTTTTTCGGGATAAAAAGTACCCTATTATTTAATCCAGACTACTAACTTTACGTCTGCAAAAATTCAATGCAATCGGTTTAGTAGTTACGGCGTGAAGTCGGAACAAACAAACTCACTTTCCGATTTATAATATTAGTAAGGATTTCCGATTTTTAAAGACTGCTTTTGTACGAACAAATGTTGTACATTTTTCATAATCAGGGATTAAGATGTTAACAAGTTCATTAGATTATATTTTTTGGTAGCAAATGATTTAAAATTCGTTCTAATGTGCACTATGTAATACATAGATATAATAATAATTTTTGCTTTCATTATATAGTTATAATACATTAAAATCCCTTTTCTTTGAAACTTTAAGAATTCTACTCTCCATGCTCTTTTACACTTCACCAACCACTTGTTTTTGACCACTTGCCTTGCATTTGTGTTTATAGAAATAAAATGTTATATTTAGAGCTCCTCTCGCCTGCGCTACAGGATTGTCCTAGTACAGGCATCTAATTATGTGAGATCACTTGTACGTACTTAAGATAACATAACATCACGCCTTTTATCCTCGAAGGGGTAGGCAGAGGTGCACATTATACCACTGCACAATGTAACACCCACTTTTCACTATTTATGTTATTAGTCCCTTGTAATAGGGGGTGAGCCTATTGCCATACACCGGCCACAGTTCCAGACTCCGTGCTACTACTGAGAATTTTTTAAAAACCCACTAATACTTTGCCCGATCCGGGAATCGAACCCGAGACCCCTTGCTCGGGCAATCGCAATTGCGACCACTCGGCCAACGAGGCAGTCTTTACTTACTACAGTAGGTACTTAAGATATATTACTGTATTTTGCATTTTTGTTATTATGAATAAAGTTTTATTATTTATTTATTGTCTTTCAAACAGTCAGTAGGGGAACAGTTTGATAACATTTATTGATAATCCCTGTAGCCCCAAGACCCCGTGTCGCTGGGCCCGGAGGTGGTGCAGGCGTCGCGCGGCGCGCTCCGCCTGCGCTACTCGCTGCTGCCGTACTACTACGCCCTGTTCTGGAGGGCACACGTCTACGGAGATACTGTCGTCAGACCACTGTTCTTTGAGTCAGTACTAGTCATATTGTATTTATATATTCTATAACTTGGACTTAGGACTTTGAGCCATAGTCTATAGTACTTTTTTACCATATTTTGTTTAATTTTAATGATGAAACTGTAGTTTAAAGATACTCTTTACTCTTGAACAGTAAATGATTAGCTTACAATCTTTCATTTGGTAATTTTTATATCTGTCAATTGTCTGTAACTGGATCAAAACTTATGTATCAGTATCAAAAGTTACGTGCATCAGTGAATGCATATTTTTGTTTATAGTCGTGAAACATTTCACTCCTATCGACGTATGAAACAGTTAAACCATCTTTTCCTCCGTCCCCAGAGCCCCCGAGCAGAGCAACCTGCACGCGATAGACAGCCAGTTCCTGGTGGGTCCGTACGTGATGGTGGCGGCCATCCTGCAGGCGGGCGCGGCCACGGCGCGCGCCGAGTTCCCCGGCCCGCAGAGCTGGTACAACATACTCGACGGACAGTTCATTGCCAGCGACAAGTCTTATGAACTCATGGAGAATGAAACTGTTTCGGTTAAGGTACGGTTTTATATCAAGTTCTCTAACTTAGGATAAGTTTCTTTTAAAGTGAATAATCACAATTACGGCTTTTAAAACTAAACTACACGTATGTAAGAAGTCTGATCACTTCGAAACTTAATCCATACTAAACTTTGCGCATATAGATTATTTTATAGTTAAATTTAAAAAAAAAAACATCCCAGGCATGTCATAAATCAGTGCGGGTCATGATGCGGAGCGAGGGGGACTGGGATACCGTCTCCTCCTTTTGCCAAGCAGCCATGCTAGCTAAGGAGAAGGCGGGACGCATGAGGCAGCGCAGTGCTACTTCCTCGCAACCCTCAAAAAGCCATCAGACCACCACGGATGGGGCCCAATAGGGCTGATGCCGATACGGAACCGCGGAGAACCTAACGGGTAACCGGGGCTCCGGCTCGAAGTGCAGGAGTAGGAACGGAGTGGTTTCTAGTCAGGAACAGTCTGACTCCCTCCCGCCACACCCAGGCGGGAGAAGTCATTCGATGATAAGACATGTCATAAATTAGAGATTTGTTCTTTCTCAGGGCGGTGGTATAATCCCCATGCAGGAGCCGCCGACCCAAGGGCCAGTGACTACAACTAACACACGAAGCTCTCCGCTACAACTACTAGTTGTACCTGATAGAGATAATCAGGCTAAAGGAGAATTATACTGGGACGATGGAGATAGCTTGAGTAAGTATCCAGTTTGTGTTGGCTTTAAGATTAGTGGCTGAGTGAAGAGTTATTGTGAAATTTAGCAATAGCAATTGGATAGAAATGTGGAGAAACTTGATACCGAAAATATTTTTTGTACAATAAAGAAATCATGTATTGCCCCTGAGACTGCTAATGAGAACTAAAGTCTGTTAACAAATAGAGTTGGTATCAAACTATTGGACATACTTTTTAGTTGCAGTGATTTGATATAGACGACCAGCTTTAATAGTACCAATGGTGCACAAAAATCATGATCTTTATTGAATAAACATGTAACATATTGTATGCGTGTGACATATATTTTAATCAATTATCAATTTTCACAGACTCATACGAAGAACAGAAATACAGTCTCATAGAATTTACTCTAAACATCACGGAGATTCGTAGCACGGTGCAGTGGTGGGGATACGGCGTGCCATCGCTCAACAAGATCTCAGTTCTGAACCAACCGCCGATCAAGATGGTCGCCGTCAACGACCAACCGTGCGTCAAACCGTGCGAGTACACGTACAACACACAAACGAAGGTACTTGAAATAACTGCCAATCTATCTCTAGACAAACCTTTTAACGTCAAATGGTATGAGAAGTTAAAGACCCCTAGTCCTAATTGGCGAAGCTGGATGGGCAGCAAGAATAACCCTTAATTTTGAAGTATACTTATTGTATTTTTACGGGGATGATATTTTGGTACTTTGTGTGTATGTGGTATGAGGATTTGACTAGTTTTGTTATGTTGTGAAAGCCTTTCTGATGAGGAAGATGGCCCATTAAAAATGGCAAGAAAGATTTAATATAGGTAATTGAACAAAAGAAGGTTTGAAGGTAGTAGTTTTGTTATTGATGGTCAAATGGTAAGTACGACTTCTATTGTCAGACGGGCTTTTTCAACATAATATATAAAGTATAGGCATTGTTTGTGAAGATGTAATGTGTACCCTAAAGGTGTTTTTATAAGGATACTCCGATAAGTAAGCCGAGATAGAAATGTACAATTTACAATGGATGTTTTTAAAAAACTTAAATGCAAATAACTAGTCGAAATGTAAACAGAGGTACTAAAGTAAAAGTTTCTTTTACATTCAACGAAATCGAGACCGCGTTCGTCGCTCTGATTGGTTGGTTTATTGGAGCCGGCCAATCAGAGCGTTGTACGCGGTCTCGATCTCGTTGAATGTAAAACAAACTCATATTTTAGAAGCCCTCTATATATTGCAATGTAGAAAATTACAAAATCACTTTTCAAGTTGAATTGAGACTACTTATGTAAGTACATATTGATAAAATTTACTATATTTTAAGCAGGCTTAACATATAAGCCAATTACACCCCGGGTATTTAAAGTACACCCGCTTTCAACCAGTTTTAACCAGTTATTTTGGTACAAAAATACGCCGTTTTGCGTATTACGTCTCTTCTATTTATACATAAATAAATATTACATACGATTGTACGTCTGTTACCCTGTACATATTTAACAATACTCTGCTTCGCTAAGAATCTTCAAAAATCTCAATTTTTTAATGATTTGGGAATGAGGTCACGCAATTTAAAGTTTTTGTAAATACCTATAAGATTGAATATTGATTGTCAGTTTTGTTGTACTCAAAGAGAATTTAAGAGTATGGAAAGCAAAGATCTCAAGAGAAAAGGCTTTTTATATAAATAATTATTAGGTCGACGTTTGGCCACTAACTAGGCCTGGTTATAAGCGACATGAGGCCCAAAGATGTAGATTGATTTTTGATCTCTTTGATGTTTTGTAATTCATGTACTTGCGTACAATATTATTCTTCCAGCTTCATTTATTTTTACAATAATAATTTTATAAATATGACTAACAACTGTGTTTCACGTATAATTGATATTAATAATAATAATCTCTACTCTAAACTTTTTACCAGACATATTTCTAGTTCATAAGATTTTATTGTAACTTTGACATATTCAATAATTGAGGGTTTAATACGAATTTGTTCAACAACCGCGTTCACGCTCTTATTGGTTGGTTCATTGGAGCCGGCCAATCAGAGCGCCGAACGTGGTCTCATTAAACGTAAAAAAACAAACTTGTATTAAGCCCTCTATTATCTATCCCTGGGCACAGTCCAAATACGTTAATCTATTGTCTATGATGTTAAAACTATTGAAATCTATTCTATTACTATGTTATGGGTGAAAATAATATTTGTAGGTTTTCGAAAAATTGCAAAATGTGTGTTTTCTATTTGTGTTTAGTGTAGATGTACTTATTACATTTTCCTAGCTAAAATTTATTCAATTTTTCTCTTAAATTTATCTGATTTTATCGTACTCGTTTATTTCTTTTATTGTATCTTCTATATCTATTTAATTAAATCTACCTTCATCTTAATATTTATATTTTTAAAACCCATTGTGTTTGACTAGATATTGGTTAAGTTGTTTTAATTATGGTATTATTTAACAGTATCGTGGAAATAAGTATTGTAATTTGATATTATAAAAAGGATTCAATATGCTTCTAATCTACTTCAAAATGATATTATTGTATCAAAAAACCAAAATATGTGGGTAAGTTCAAAATTCAGTACTTATTAGTACATGGATCTATAGAAAATTATCTTTTATACTAAAAGGAATATGTTCTACTATACCCTACTTACATATTAATGGGGATAAGGGGCCCCATTTTGAAATTATCACATATTTAACTATAGATAAAATCTATGTGTATGTCTAGTCATAAGGTATATATTTACACGTAAATAAAAGCTCAAATTGCATTGTATTCAGTGGTACCCAATGTTCAACCACATTATAAATAATAATCTCTGTAATAAATACCTTCAAGATAATTAGATTTAGATCTGTATGCATTTTTTAATTCGATTGTACATTCACAGATCTTTTTTTGCTATTTTCGATGTGGGTAGTGTTATTTATATTTCAATATGTACTAGCACCAAAATTACAGCATTTATTTTTATCTGTAAGTTTTAATTGGTCTAGTATTTTATAAGGAATTCACATAGTACATTTAATTTGCCATATTTACTGATATGTGATAGTTTTTTTTTGAAATTTTTGTGATAATTATGTTACATTTTGGCATACAAAAAGTTATTGTGATAAAATATTAATTGCACTATTTGTGTGATTGATGCCAAAGTAGACATGTATTTACCATTGATTTTTGTAGTTAAGATTGCACTAATAAAAATGATAACGCACAATATTTGTTTGTTGTTTTCATTTAAATCTTAAATTTGTAACAAAATTCATTATTGCACTAAAAAGGTAATAACACAACATACTAACATCTCTACTAACAGTTAATAAATAAATAAAGATTTTAAACAAGCAACTATGTGTCCGCACCCTTCTCTTTTTCATCTTTTTCTTTATTTTCAGTCTACTTCGAGGAATTTATTATATTGTTCTTCGGTCATTAAGTTTTGTATTTCCGCAGCGTCTGTCATTTCAACTTTGAATAACCAGCCTTTGTCATAGTAGTTTGTGTTTATGAGCCCGGGTTTGCTTTCTACTTCGATATTCTTTTCCTTGATGATACCACTGACGGTGAGTATATTTCACTGGCCGCTTCACACTCTCAAGGGTTCCACATTCTTCTCCTTCGTTCACCATGGATTCTGGTTCAGGTAACTGTGCGAAGACAATGTCACCTAGAGATTCTTGAGCGTATTTGCTAATGCCTACAGTTCCAACACCTTTTTCGATTACAACCCATTCATGTCTATCGGAGAACAGTCTTGGTCGTTTAGTACTGTATTGTAGGTTAAATTGAGTGCTAGTGTATTTTTGTTTGTTAGCTGACTGGAGTATGCAAGTCTTTGTTATGTACTGTCTTGATAATTGTAGAACACATCTATGGAATGCCATTTTATCTGTGAACAATTACAAAAATTTTAGTCGAGCTTCTGCTACATAAATCACAGAAGACTTGTTTGTAAGAAACAACTCAACTCATGTCAGTTATTTGAATATTCTGATAATATGGTAAACAGTACTTTGATAAGTAAATGTAAACAATGGTATGTAATTATTTAGATAGGTAAATTGTTTACATTGTACATGGGCAAAGGGTCAACACACAAACAGGCTTATCTTAAAATTTATGTATTCCAAAAGAATAATAATGAGGTTCATTCAAGCCGTAGGATAAACATTCATCGGAAGAATGTATCAGAATTATGTAATTAATTACACAAATTAAATAATATAATTTGTTCATACTCTCTCATGTGGGTAGGTATTGCAACTAAATACTTGTGAAAGATGATTCTTACTTGAAACTTTCGTTATCGCTCGCCAACTTACTCAGAATTTTGGTTATTGTTACAAAAATCAAACTTAACTATGCACATGGTAGGATTTACTTACCTGGCTAGAATTTGCACAAATATGTTGTTCAGTCTTATTTTTAAAAACCGGCTGATGGTGACCCAACAAAAACGTTGAGGTTATAAGTTTAAATTTATAAAATAAGAAAGACACCTTCTGTAAACAGATTAACGTTAATTTTTATCCACAATTTTAACACAAAAATAATTTTTACTATTTTTATTTTTTATAGACGATTTTTTATTTTTTCAGAAATGAGACTGATATTGACAATCTGTCACAATTCTAAAATTGACGTTTTAAACGGTTTATTTTGTTTGTTCCGTTGTTTGCTTTTTATTTTTCCAATATTTTCCAAGTATTTTATTAAAATGCTGATTTATATTATAGATTATAAATAAAAGCTATTTGTGCACAAGAAATAGGGCAGGTTTGCTTTTTGTTTAAAGATGGATTCAATTTCTGGACGATGTGACTTGTGTTGCCACTTTGTTTAATTAACGAATTTGGTTAGCCCACTGACCTCTATATAATTACGCATTATAGAGGTCAGTGGGTTAGCCACAATAACCAACGAGAGAAGGGAATAATTGATACATTGCCATGTTTATATAAGATTTCTCATCTCTTAATCGTTCTTTCAATGAATTAATGAACTGCATTGTATGTGTTATTCAGTCAGTTTCCAACAGGTAATATAATTATTTTATTTTCAAGTCAACCAGTTTTTTTTCTCCAATCAAGGTAACACTTGCTGTCAAATGATCTTACAATCATACGTCACATAAACGTCATTATTCGCTTAGCCATGAGTGAAAGATGTCAAACGAAGCTTTCAGAGAAATTTGATAATAAAAATTATATTATTTATTTCGGTATTCTATGTACGTCAATCGCAGTTCTATATTTTTACAGGTAGTATTAATATTTTTCAATTTATTTGTGTACTCTGTGAGTTATATTGCAATGTTTGATAACTTTTTTCAGATTTCACTTTGCCACAATAGCATTTAGCTATGTGTTGGGATGTCTGGCTTGTTATTACGGGCTCAATTCGAGTATTTTACAAGATTATATTGAAAAGTTAAAGTGCCATTTCGTCGGTGAGACGAGCAAGGATGAAGCGAAAGCGCCTGTCAAAGTGAGTGAGAATACCTCTTGTTTACTGTTTACTTGTAATAGGAAACTCGTTATTCACTATTGAGGTCATGTACGCCTCCTTATTCATCATTTTAAACATTTGATAAGCAATTATCTTTGAAGCAATTATTGGAAACAATCAAGAAAACAACAAACTATTGTTTTATATTTTATTAAAGTTGTGGAACTTTATTGATCTTATTTATTGACTTATTAGTTAATTAACTCGTGCTCAGGTTCTGTTTTCTAGTTCTGTATCAAGGAATGTATTTAGTATGTAGGTATAGCATAAAACTAGTTCTATCATCTAACTTTCTTAGTTAATCTACTTATCAGTTAACTATCTAGACCTTATCTGTATCTGTATTCAGATAGAAACTGGTTTAAAGATACTGGTTACTGTTGAAGTAGTGTAAAATAGCCTTCGGCTTAAGAGACACGAGTAACTTTGCTCTGAGTCATAATTTTATTATTTACTAGCTTTTACCCGCAGCTTCGCTCGCGTCACAAAAGGATAAAAAGTAGCCCAATGTGACATACACACAGCGCCATCGATACCAATAATTTAGTTTTTCCTCAACAATATCAAATTTTTCTGGGATAAAAAGTTCCCTATTATTTAATCCAGACTTCTAACTTTACGTCTGCAAAAATTCAAAGCCATCGGTTTAGTAGTTACGGCATGAACGCGGAACAAACAAGCAAACAAACAAACTCACTTTCCGATTTATAATATTAGTAAGGATTTATCTTTTTATCACAAAGGTATCTTATTATGTAAGCCCCTCAAAACCGTTGCAATGGTTTGTGGGGTGAAATACAATTAAATGTACTTATAATTAAATATTATATAAGTGCTGTAACTTAAACTTACACAGGGTGTACTGGACATAGTACACCATACCGCAAGGGGCGATAGCTATTCTAATTAACTATAGTAAGTAATTACTTTAAGATGTCTGTCACCCTGTTGCAATACAAAGGATTATAAGTGTGACACTCAGAGACATTTAACAACTGCTTCAACTATTCCTTTGTAATGATTTTTACCAAAAATAATAGTTAACAACTGGTTTAAGTAACCAATAAATAAATCGGAATATGGTGGTAACTATTAGAGTCCATTATAGTTTGTTTTAAGTCAAATATAATAATTTCACTTCAAACAATTTTTTCTCACTGTTTAAACCTTCCCTGGATATCCACGATTACTTCAAGACCAAAATTAGCCAAATTGGTTCCACTGTTCTCGAGTTTTGCGAGACTAACAAACAAAAATTCATTTTCATTTATACAGATTTATTTAATTAATAACAAAACAAATTATTTTTCATACTATCAGCTGTTCCAGAATACTTGAAATTACTTTTGTAGGTCAGTAATCAGTATTATCAATATACCTACCATTATATTGTTTTACCTGGTGTTTTAATCCTCTATCTAGATAAGTGATAGATTAGGTAGCTGGTGTAATTGATTTATTGGCATTCTTCTCTATTTCCAAAGTCGTTAAGATTATGCAAATTAACATACATTAATGACTAGAGGACAGTAAACATTTATAACTTTCGCGAGACAAACTAAATTAATCATTATGTTTTTTGGCTCATTCTCGTAATTATTTGACAATGAGTAAACATGTTCAGTAGCTGGATGAATTGCATGGAAAAGCTTTTATATAATATTACTAGCGGACCCGACAGGCGTTGTCCTGTAATAATAGGTATATATAAAAATAACTTAGAAACCGACTGCAGCGCCATCTGCCGGGCTGATTTGTGAATCTAACCATTCCCAGAACCCCTTGAACACACACAAAAAATTTTATCAAAATCGGTCTAGTCGTTTGAGAGAAGTTGAGTGACATACACACTCACAAAAGAATTATATATATAAAGATATTTTAAAACTTCAAATTTTTGTGGAATAAGTACTTACATAAAATTATGTTGAAACTGCTTATTCCTATAGGCATGGGTATGATGTATGTTATAGTGTTACATTTTTTAATTATTAATTGAAAAATAAAACAATAATATACATTAAACCAATAAAGTATAGAGATAAGTAGAAAAGAAGCCGAAGATTTCTACTGATTTAACTTTGAAGATTTATTTTGAACCTTTCCTCACATTCATACATATCACAAAATACAGTACTGTTCAATTCTATACTTTGCACCATTACTCATAATTTCTTGAATAAAGTGTAATTGACAGTTTCTTTGAAATTACAAGGGGTTGCCCCCTTATGACTCATGTCGCGATCATACTAATATGATTATCCAAATTGTTCAAGAGCCTGATTAGTCATCACCAATTTTGTTTATTTTGCATGACTAATCGTTTTTTTTCAATGCTGTGAATAAAATGTACAATACACTAAATAATTAACTAAATTAAATATTTGTATTTAACTATTTACATGTTTGTGTTTCTCTTTATCATTCTTTGATATTTTTCTTGTGTTAGTATTTTTATGCTTGAAGCTAGGGTAGCCAAGCTTTAGATGAATATAATAAAACAAAAAATTGGACTGCACGGTTGGTGCGGTGGCTGGGCGCAACGTGTCGCGGGTTCGATTCCCGCACGGAACAACTCTTTGTGTGATCATCAGATTAGTGTTCCGGGTCTGGGTGTGATGTGTATGTGAACTTATATGTATGTAAACGAACCCACGACACAGGAGAAAATCCTAGTGTGGGGCAAGGCTTTTTTTAAATAACGTTTTGTTTAAAAGCATTTCTGAGAATGGTGTATTTTATAGTATCGTACTTGACACCTTTAATATTCTTACCTGTAGCTGCAAGTTTAAATACCTATTACATATTATTATTCTTATTTCCAGGGTTGCGAGACGTGTGGGTCGAAGGACTGTGAAAGACATGACTCCAGTGTAGGCACAGACCCATGGGTGGGGTTACAAATACACAAACAGTTGGATCAAGCTATAGAGGATGTGAGTAGCTTTAAATATTTCAAAGATGTCGATATCTTAAAAAATATGATGATACTAGCTTTTGCCCGGGACTTCGTACGCGCAATCCCGTTTTCTTCCGTGCCCGTAGAATTTTCAGGACTTTTTTCTGTTATAAGAACCTTCCCCTGACAATAATAAACACAACATAAAAAAAATCAGTCAAATCGGTCACACCGTTCTCAAGTTATGGCGTGACAACGGGAAACGGGTTTCATTTTTTATATATTATGAAGGATAGTAATGAACCTTAGATCTAAGTGGGTAGCAGGTCAAAATCATCATGTGTCTCGGGCGGCTAATTCAATCTTATACGTGTATTTTGACGATTGCGGACGAAAAATGAGCAATTTCATTTTTTTACCTTGTCTTGAAAAATATTTATTTGAGCTGCCCAAGACAATATTGTCTTGGGCAGCTCAAATATATGAGTATATACTCAATTTAGGAACATCATTACAGTTTTGTAGACGGCTGAAACAACTGGTCTTTAGAACCCCCTTCAGTGCCAAGTAAAAAATCATCGAAATTAATTCCATACTTGCAGTGGCGAACAGACTACCTTGAACTTGTTGCACCTTCGCTAGATATGTCTAGCGTCTAACATAACATAATTCAGACAAGACTTTAGACATCCTAATATCAAGTGCAACCATGCAAAAAGACGAATCTAGTATTATTTAACTCTAAAGACTAACTTTTGAAGGTCAAGTTATATTAAATAGCAGATAAGCGAAACAATAGCGTGCCCGAACGAAAACAATTGACTATGAACGAGTGAGGTCATCTCTAATTCTGAATGCAATGACACTTGTATGTAATGAAATGTAATGTTAGATTATGTAATTTGTGAAGTGAAGATTCATTCCTTAATTCTTTAAGAGACTATATACACGTATAGAAAATGACTACGAAGTCTAGTAATTGTTTGAGGTTACTCGATTAGTTTCAAGCCGCGCTAGGGACCTGTAACCTTGAGCATATAGCGACGAGCTTCGCGGGTTTTTCGAGGTTTTCGATATTCATATTACAAGCAAAAAAGATCTTTATAATTATTTTGGAAAATTAACTAAAAATAACGTCAAGAAAATATACTGAGAAAAACTCTTCTAGTTTCAAGGCAAAGACGGACTGCCTCTCTGCTATATTCCTTCTCTTCCTCTTTCTCAGTATATTAGGGTGAGTAAACCGTTATTTCTAGTTAATCCAGCATGTCTTTAAGTGTGGGAGGGCCATGCTTCGGCAAGAATGGGCCGGCTCGACCGGAGTGATACCACGGCCTCACAGAAGACCGACGTGAAACAACGTTGTGTTGTCTTTCCCCAATCCCTGAATCCCCAACAATCCTCAAACTCCTAATTCTCAAAAGGCCGGTAACGCACTTGTAACGCCTCTGGTGTTTCAGGTGTCCATGGGCGACGCCGATTGCTTACCATCAGGTGATCCGTCTGCTTGTTAACCGTCTTATCCCATAATAAAAAAATTAAAAAAAATGTCTCACGATAGTTATTATAAAAATATTGGAACGTGAATTTACTGAATGAACATTTCTAGCTATGTACTCTTTCAATGACTTACATAATAGTTATTTTAAAATACCATGGTTTATGAAATGGCGACGTTTCTATACTTTAATATTTCCTTCGAAACGAATGAGCATGCATAATATGGCTATCAGACTAATGTATTGTTTGAAAATTATAATATACGTTGGTGTGTATGTACCTAATGTACTCATTTGACTAAAACATTTAAAAATATGTTGAGTTATTTATGTAAAATTTATAAAAGAACAAAAAATGGGCATACATAGTTATACTCAAAACAGTAACCTCAGTCAGTCAGGCAATGGTTTTCATAAACATGAGAATTAATTGGGAAGTCTACTTTATTATTAACATAACATAACATCACGCCTTTTATCTCCGAAAGGGTAAGCAGAGGTCCACATTACATCACTTAGTGCTATTGTACAATGTAACACCCACTTTTCACTATTTATGTTATCAGTCCCTAGAAATAGGGGATGAGCCTATTGCCACAACACGATTCCAAACTCCGTGCTAATACTGAGAATAAAACAAATCCATTAATACTTTGCCAGACCCGAGACCGGCAGTCGTACACTTTATTATAAGGTTTTAGAAATAATAGTGAACAAGTTAAATATAAATGTACAGTCTAATATTTTTCATATATAAATAATAAATCGTCACCATTAAATCGTTTCCGTCTTAAAGCGTCATGCTTTAAGAAATAAACTTGTCAATTCACTAAACCCGATCTTCTGTTCATCGTGCAATCGTATCCAATTGGCTAGTTTCCTCGGTTTAAAATAAATTGTTTCAACTTTTCAATGCAATAAATAATAATTTAAAAATAATCATACTCTCTTCCATTGATTTGACAATTTACCTACTTTTGGATTTTTTCTCGCTAATTTTAAGGAAATAAGTAATAAGTATGCTATTTGACACAGAAATATGATGACGTCATAAGTTGCGATCCAAAACAAAATTCATTGAGATTTCAATAAAAGTATTGAATTTGACTCAAGTACCGTATTAGAGTTAGCCAAATGAATCTTGTCTAGAGACAAAAGTTCTTCCATTACATTTTTTCTCTTTAACTGTAAACACTATTGTTTGTCAATTCCAGTTCTACAACACGATATTGGATCAGTTTATAAACTCGTGGTACAGTAAGGTGACGCTGCAGCCGTTCTTCGTGGACGAGCTGCGGTACCAGCTCCGATATGCATCCGCTTGTCTGCTGCAGAGGGCTGTCAAGGTAAAATATTTATGTTATTCACTGTATTAAAAGCATTACATGTAATAAACTTTTTAAAATAGCCTTTTTAGGACAATATATAATCGGTATAATTGAAAAGTCACATAAAACAACACATTTGTCGTATGAGTGAAGTGTACCGGAGGCCTTATTAATAGCTAATAGAAAGCTGATTAATTTGTGACCAAATCGGAGGTATAGTAGCCGCCTCTAACGCTCTTGTTCAGCGGGTTTATTCAGCTAAAGATACCATTGTAAACAGTGATTCAATTATTCAGCGCTTCTATGCTACTTGGGTTGGGCGCCCCCTCCCCAATCTCCCCAATCCTCGAATCGCCAACAATCTTCAAATTCCCAATTCCCAAAAGGTAGTAACGCACTTGTAACGCCTCTGGTTAGGATGTCCATGTGCGACGCAGATTCCTTACCATCAGGTGATCCATCTGCTCATTTACCGGCCTATTCCATAAGAAATTGAAGTCTAACATAGAATTTCAGTTAGACTTATGTACCTATCTGATATTTAGCTAATAAGGCAAAACTTCTTTTTTATATTTGATGGGCGACGTTTGACCACTATCTCGCCTGGTGGTAAGCGATTATGTGGCCTACGATGGAGCACGTCGTCTCATTAGCAACCTATTCACTCGGGGCCTTGAATACACCCAGGTTATACCCTTCAGGAAATACAGACTCTGGAAAAGAATTCCACTCCTTAGCAGTACGCACAAGGAAGCTTGATGCGAAGCGCTTCGTGCGTGTGGGACATCTACCATGAATTGGTGACGCTTCGCCGATTGTCTTGTGGTACGATGATGGAAAGGACTAGGGGGAATCGAGTTGTGCAATTCCCCCACACTCTCACTGAAATGCATGCGATAGAAAACCGAAAAGCTTTGAAACTATGTGTATTTTTCAATCTTTTTTCTATTCCAATATCTCAATCTTCTCTTCCAGATAAACTACGCTAAATTCATAACGTCCCGGTTAGTACCGTGCGCGTTACGTCACTACTCAGTATGCGCGTCACGTCCGGGGGTGGCGCTAGATTCCAAGATGGCGCTACATCCGGCCGCCGCCAATAGGAATGCAGAACTAAAGTATTTAAGATGTATCACGAACGCCATAATGCCGTATTTATTGAAGAATAATGAGTTGCAAAATTCGTGAGTATTTTATTAGTAGCTACTTATTTATTTTAACACATAACCTAACATCTCGCTTTTTATCCCCGATGGGGTACATTACGGCACTGAATGCCACTGTACAATGTAACACCCACTTTTCACTATTTATATTATGAGTTCCATGTAATAGGGGGTGAGCCCATTGCCATACACAGGGCACAATTCCAGACTCCACGTTACTACTGAGAAAAACCCAGTCATACTTTGCCCGACTCGGCATTCGAACCCGAGACCCCTTGCCCGGCAGTGGCACTTGCGATCACTCGGCCAATGAGGCAGTCTTATTTATTTTTTGAATCAAATCATGAGACTTTCACGTAAAGTGATACGATTCTAATATTAGGCTGATAAATTTTATTATATATACTACACCATGTCTACTTAAGTTATATATTACTAGCTTTTACCCGCGGCTTCGCTCGCGTCACAAAAGGATAAAAAGTTGCCTCGGGAATATCAAATTTTTGCGGGTTAAAAAGTACCCTATTATTTAATCTAGACTACTAACTACGTCTGCAAAAATTCAAAGCAATCGGTTTAGTAGTTACGGCGTGAAAGTGGAACAAACAAACGAACAAACAAACTCACTTTCCGATTTGTAATATTAGTAAGGATGCATCTTAAAGTTTAGCAAAAAGTCACCAAAATATTTCTCAGTTCTTTAATAATTTGTTTTAATCGTTCCAATGTGTAGACAGACTCCTATGAATAAGAAAGAGTAAGAAACTCTAGTTACTTTCTAAATAGTAGCATAAAAACGTTTTTATAGATAACACAAGTCGTTACACATTCGTTTAGTAACTGACGTCTTGTTAGCATACTTATAATACGTTTACAAGGCGCAAATTATCACTACTTAGTAGTTGCGAGTTGTTAAATGTGATAATTGCATTCAATATCTCTATATCCTTTTGTGAATAGTAGTTTATGCTATTTTGTGCCTTGTGCACGAAGAATAGGGTATAATTTTAGAGTATCTATGTAACTTTAGTTTTGATTTGACTGTTTGACATCTGTATACAAGATTGTTAGCAATTTTGCACAATATCAGTTATTTCCTAAATAACGTGCCAAAATGTATGTTAATTACTGCTACTTTAGGTTCAAATTTCCTTGTTGCAGTGTGTTTCGCGTGTTAATAAGAGAGATATTTGCTGGTTGGGTGCTGTTGTCACTAACTGACGTATTGGCCGATCCTTACATACTGAATACTCTTATTATATTAGCGACGGGAGATGAAACTATGGCTCAGTTGCCTTCTACGCCTAATTATAAGGTAAGTTGCGTTTTTTAGTGAATATTAAGTGGCGTAACCAACCAAAAAATTGTAAACCACCCTGTACACACTACACATAACATAACATAACATCACGCCTTTTATCCCCGAAGGGGTAGACAGAGGTGCACATTATGCCACTGTACAATGTAACATCCACTTTTCACTATTTATGTTATGAATCCCATGTAATAGGGGGTGAGTCTATTACCATATACCGGGCACAATTCCAGACCCCGTGCTACAAATGGGATTTTTTTAAAACCTAGTAATATTTTGTTCGACCCGGAAATCGAACCCGACAACCCCTTGGCCGGCAGTCGCTTTCGCGACTACTCGGCCAACGAGGCAGTCTTTCTCTTTCATTGATAAATATTTTCTGATGTGAGTATTTCATTAATTGGTAGCGTATGTCGTGTAAATGGCAATTGAAATGAGAGTAATATATTGTGAGAGAACCCTCTAGTCTATAGTATAGATTTCGAGTTTGATAAAATGAAAAAAAAAAACACTGGCTCAGTTTATTTACCCTCAAGTGTACGAATATTCCCGAGCGTACGGCGCGTCGCGTTCCGCGCGCGCCTCAAAGAGCCATCAGACCACCACAGATGGGGCCCAACAGTGCCGATGCCGATTCGGAGTCGCGGAGAACCTAACGGGTTACCGGGGCTCCGGCTCGACGTGCAGGAGAAGGAACGGGGTGGTTTTTAGTCAGTAAGAGTCTGACACTCCCTCCCGCCTCACCCAGGCGGGAGCAGTCATTCGATGATTTTTCCCCCTTAAAAAAAAAGTGTACGAATATTAATAATCCCTTTTTACCTCCTTTAGGTAGAATTCCTAGAAACCTTCGTCCGTCAGACGGAATCAATGTACAGTCAGCGCTGCAAGCTGCTGCGACTGGAACTGGACCTGGTCATCAGCGACCAGGAACTGTTCTTCGCATTCATGCAATACATGAAGACCACCAGCCATCTACATCTGTTGCAGTTTTATAAAGACATCAGTGAGTATTTGGGATAAAGATTGTAATAATATTATTATTTTTTTTACATAGATAACATCACGCCTTTTATCCCTAAAGTTACCAACAACTAGTATATTCTAAAAATAATAAAGATTTTTTTATGCTATAAGCCGGTAAACGAGCAGATGGATCACCTGATGGTAAGCAATCGGCTTCGCCCATGGACACCTGGAACTCCGGTGGGATTAGGAATTTGAGGATGGTTGGGATTCAAGGATTGGGGAAGGGGGGGGGGGGGGTAATTGGGCCTCCGGTTACCTAATTCACACGACGAAACACAACGCAAGCGTTGCTTCTGTGAGGCCGTGGTATTCCTCCGGTCGAGCCAGCCCATTCGTGCCGAAGCAGGGCTCTCCCACACTTATTAGTATTGAATCCCATGATGTATAATATTGTTACAGAATTATTCCAAACAAAAATCCTGAACCCCGAGCTGAGCAGGTCGGAGGAGGAGTCCCTGCAGCGCGCCGCGCGCGTCCTGTCGCAGCAGTACCTGGCGGCCGGCCCGCCGCCGCTGGCCGCCGACCTGGCCGCCGACCTGCAGGCGCTGCTGCAGCAGGACAACAGTATTAACAAGTACGTAGTCCCTAGCTATTTGTTTATTCATCAACAGCCTATGAGTGCCCACTGCTGAGCAAAGCCTCTTCTCACACGGAGAATGTTTGAGCATTAATTACCACGCTTGCTCATTGCGAATTCGGTTTACGAAAAACTTTCTATTTTCAATTTTCAAGCTGTTTTTAACCATTTTTGACATGACAATGTCTTATAAATTGGTTTGCCGGGTGACACTTCAAGAAACTGCGTTACGCTCCGCTCACGTTATGCGCTCACAATGAGAGCGAGTGAGAGGCACGCGTCCCTTCCACTCGGGCATGGTTAGCCCGCCTAAGAGCGAGAGAGACAGACATAAAAAGTGAAAGGCACGCGTCCCTTCCACTCGAGCACAGTTAGCCCGCCTAAGAGCGAGAGAGACAGACATAAAAAGTGAAAGGCACGCGTCCCTTCCACTCGAGCACAGTTAGCCGCCTAAGAGCGAGAGAGACAGACATAAAAAGTGAAAGGCACGCGTCCCTTCCACTCGAGCACAGTTAGCCCGCCTAAGAGCGAGAGAGACAGACATAAAAAGTGAAAGGCACGCGTCCCTTCCACTCGAGCACAGTTAGCCCGCCTAAGAGCGAGAGAGACAGACATAAAAAGTGAAAGGCACGCGTCCCTTCCACTCGAGCACAGTTAGCCCGCCTAAGAGCGAGAGAGACAGACATAAAAAGTGAAAGGCACGCGTCCCTTCCACTCGAGCACAGTTAGCCCGCCTAAGAGCGAGAGAGACAGACATAAAAAGTGAAAGGCACGCGTCCCTTCCACTCGAGCACAGTTAGCCCGCCTAAGAGCGAGAGAGAGACATAAAAAGTGAAAGGCACGCGTCCCTTCCACTCGAGCACAGTTAGCCCGCCTAAGAGCGAGAGAGACAGACATAAAAAGTGAAAGGCACGCGTCCCTTCCACTCGAGCACAGTTAGCCCGCCTAAGAGCGAGAGAGACAGACATAAAAAGTGAAAGGCACGCGTCCCTTCCACTCGAGCACAGTTAGCCCGCCTAAGAGCGAGAGAGACAGACATAAAAAGTGAAAGGCATGCGTCCCTTCCACTCGAGCACAGTTAGCCCGCCTAAGAGCGAGAGAGAGAGAGTGAGAGAGATATGCATACACACCGGTTCCGTTGTCACGTAAAACTTTCGCCCGTATACCGACTTTACAGGCAACCAATTTTTTCCGAATTTTGTTAGTTTTTCACTTCACTCTGGGACTCGGTAACTCGGTTTTAAGAAGTTGTATCTATTTACAATTTTTACATTATAGGTTACATATTTTTATCTTCAGATTCCAAACCAGTCGAGCGTTGTACCAGGCTGCGCGACAATCTCATTCTGTATTAGAAAAATTATGGCTGCCCAAGTTTCTGCATAGTGAAGAGGTATGTTACGAAAATCATTTTCTGGTTCAAATAACTTAAGGTTTGTTAAGTATCTCTTTATCCATTCTTCCCTAACAAGTATCGTAATATATTCTATTAAAATTTGACATTATGTTTGACAGTTCTACAAATTACTTATCGGGAGCAGATTGCCTACGGGATATCAGAAGCAAATGGTCAAAAAGTAAGTTGAATGAATAGTAACCTTCTCTTTAAGTTAAGAAATTGACGTGTAAAAGTGGTACCTGGTAGCCTATTTGTAGAAATAAATTCACTTTGTTTCAGTAAAAACAGTTTATTTGTTTCCAAAAAGCTGATGTTGATTATTATTTTTACCGAATAATAGGGATAACATTCAGTTTCGGTATATAAAATTTTGAAAAAAAATTTCTTTCGCATTACTTTTGTTGTTTGAAATACTTTTACAGTTTTTAATTGCCTGTAAATAAAAATGCCTGGCAAGGGGTCTCGGGTTCGATTCCCGGGTCGGGCAAAGTAATGTTGGGTTTTAAAAAAATCTCAGTAGTAGCACGGAGACTGGAATTGTGCCCGGTATATGACAATAGGCTCACCCCCTATTACATGGGACTCATAACATAAATAGTGAAAAGTGGATATAACATTGTATAGTGGCATTAAGTGCCGTAATGTGCACCTCTGTCTACCCCTTTGAAGATAAAAGACGTGATGTTATGTTAATGTAAATGGTTTTAATTAGCGGTTTTACACGCTCTGCTCATCTCCTATTGGTCGTAGCGTGATGTTTTATAGCCTATAGCCATCCTCGATAAATGCGCTATCCAACACAAAAAGAATTATTCAAATCAGACTTGTAGTTACGGAGATTAGCGCGTTCAAAAATTCTTCCGCTTTATATAAGATGGAAGATAAACTCTATTTAGATACTGGATATTTATAATTCTATTCATCTTCTAGACCCCACGAGAGACTACTCAACCAGGCTTTAAAGTTGGGGCATCGTTTGAAAGGTGCTCTAAAACCCCAGACAGTTGACGGCCAAGTACTAGACTGTTACACCAACTGTGATGAGTCGGAAGGAGATGGAGTGGACAATATGGATATATTGAAGTATTTAGACAATTTAGCTGTTGAAGAGTCTTTGAGAGGACACGATCTGAGCACTTACAAGGTCGTTTTGACTAACGTTGAGACGAAGTTGGTGAGTATTGATTTACTTTTTAATCATGTTGAGGAACGTTATGTTTTAATGATATTAATAATAATAATTCTACTATGTTCGCCGCACGACGAGAACCTCGTGAAAGCTGAGAAAGATAAACAAATAAAATATCTAGACTTAGCTCACGAGGTTGTCGACATGTGGAGTGTGGACTCGGCTATCATTGTGCCGATAGTCGTGTCGGCCAATGGGTTAATCCCTAAAAGCCTCGACATCCATCTCAGGAGGCTGGCGTTAGGTGGATGGATCAAGGGCCTGATACAGAAGGCAGTTCTCCTAGAAACAGCACGTATCGTGAGGAGGTTTCTGTCTCTGGAGCCCTAACCACCGCTAGCTTGGACCATGCTCCCGCTACCGGTCGACTCCTATTTTCTATATTTTTATAAATATATAGAAATAATACTTTATTCATATACCAACATCGAAATACATCAAGCTCTGTCTCCTGAACTAGGCGTTGCCTGTTTCTCATGAGGCAGTACCTTTCCGTTACAATGAGAAAATATAATTAGATTATATCGATTTTAAGGACTAGTTTATTTAACACTGGCCGAGTGGTCGTAAGTGCGACTGTCGGACGAAGTCTGGGGTTCGATTACTGGGTCGTGCAAAGTATTACAGGGTTTTTAAAAAATTCTCAGTAGTAGCACGAAGTTTGGAATTGTGCCCGGTATATGACAATAGGTTTTTACTTTGTACTGCATAGTGGCAGTAGTATGTAACTCAGTTGAGGTAGTTTCTACGTCAGTTTTCTATCGCAATAGTGCGTGGACTAGAAAATACATTTCATGGAGTGGATTGTGCTATGGCTAACATCATTTTCTATCTGCTATCGTATAGGTTTGTCGACTACAGTAGAGATTATCGTATTCTGTTAAAAGGCTGGCAACGCACCTGTGTCCTCTGGTTTGCGGGGGTCCATGGGCGGAGCTGATCGCTTGCCATCAGGTGATCTGCCTGCTAGATTGCCTCCTATTCCCTAAAAAAATATGATTACTTTCCAGCAAGTCCCCCCCCGGCGCGGCGCAGTGCGCGTGTTTACCCTGACGGTGCACCGCGCGGGGGGGGGCGCCGCGCCCGCCGAGCTGTGGGCACTCGACCGCTCCGAACACGACTTCCATCTGTTACGGAGCAAGCTGCACGAGTTCCATGGAGACGCGTTACTGCATGACCTGTCACTACCTTCTCGCAGGTAACGAGTACCAAGTATCAAGTACAATAGTATGATGAAAAAGGCTCTTTAAGCATAACAAAAACAGTCTCTGTCGCTTTGTGAAACATTAAAGATAAGTAATTAAACTTGGTTATTTCCTGATAAAGTAACTATTCACTGAGAAATCGGAATGAATTAGCTAAAGTTTCGCCTATTTAACCATGTGTTTACTAAATCGCCTTCATGGGTATGGCCAAACCACTGTTAGAAAGAAGAGCTATATTCGGTAACTTTTTTCTGTTGTAAAATGACCTTAATTCTTTGAAAATAATAACATTCTAACTAATATTGAGACAAAGTAGATCACAAATCAAGTGTGGGAGAGCCATGCTTCGGCACGAATAAACCAGTTAAAAACCGACGTGAAACAACGCTTGCATTCTGTTTCGTCATGTGTGTGAGGTTACAATAGAGCCAATTATCCCCCCTTCCCCAATCTCCATAATCCCTGAATCTCCAACAATCCTCAAATTCCTAATTGCCCAAAAGGCCGGTAACACACTTGTAACGCCTCTGGTGGTGCGGGTGTCCACGGGCGGCGCCGATTGCTTACCATCAAGTGATCCGTCAGCTCGTTTACCGGTTTATCCCATAAAAAGAAGACAGATACAAGAAAGCTAACTACTTTTTACAGGCTTCCTTCCAAAAAAAATTAAAATACTCATCATACTCCTCATAAGAACATCACCCCAAAAATAACCCCGTAGCTAAATCCACATCTTTTCTCCTTTACAGAGACAACAGTCCCCTCGAAACACTTCGATACAAATACGAGGACTTTCTTCAGAGACTACTCCAAAAAAGTTTACTCCAAACTAGTGAATTACTTCGGATATTCCTGACAGAAGACGGTGACTTCTCAATAGTAGTCCAGGCGTCCACCTTGAATGCTACTAGCTCAGACTTGGGCAATATTTATCAAAATGTTGCTTTGAGGCTAAGGAAGGAGAAAGGACAACATTTGGAGAGCTTTCTCAGGAATCTGTTGGTATCTTCTGATATTGAGCGGTATCAGGCTTTGTAAGTATTGTATCCTCGATATAGATTATGATGTTGCGATATTGTCTCTGAGTGACCAACATTAAATATATAAATAAAAAATATAGTTTTGACTATATTTTTTGTTGACTGCCTCGCTGGCCGAGTGGTCGCAAGTGCGACTGCCGGGCAGGGGGTCTCGGGTTCGATTCCTGGGTCGGGCAAAGTAATAATGGGCTTTAAAAAAAATCTCAGTAGTAGCACGGAGTCTGGAATTGTGCCCGGTATATGGCAATAGGCTCACCCCCTATTACATGGGACTCATAACATAAATAGTGAAAAGTGGGTGTTACATTGTACAGTGGTATAATGTGCACCTCTGCCTACCCCTTCAGGGATAAAAGGCGTGATGTTATGTTATGTTTTGGCTATATCTTTAGAGCGAGATCCCTTAAGTCACTTGGATCAGTGCAATATGTCTTTTTTTCCCCCTATCATGCGTCTTACAAACTGTCCATTCATGTCTTTAGAGATTAGTAAAGAGTAGTAAGTAGACTGCTTAGTCGGTCGGGCAAAGTATTAGTGGATTTTTAGAAATCTCAGTAGTAGCACGGAGTCTGGAATTGTGTCCGGTATATAACAATAGGCTCACCCCCTATTACACGGGACTCATAACATAAATAGTGAAAAGTGGGTGTTACATTGTGCAGTGGTATAATGTGATTAATGTCGGAATACTGAAACGCTACTCAATTTTAAGTCGTGCTTAAGTATAGTTCTATCTCTACAAATTCTTTGTAAAATAACAGAGATGGCACGATATTTGAGCACGGCTTAAAATTGAGTAACGTTTCAGTATTCCGACATTAATGCCACATAAATGCCGTAATGTGCACCTGTGCCTACCCCTTCGGGAATAAAAGGCGTGATGTTATGTAGTAAGTAAAGAGACTCCTCTTTGCATTCATCCATAATTAAACTTACAATCCTCTATATCACTTCACCTTTCCCCTATGTAAAAGTAAAAACGCTTTATTTAAATCGCCATAGTTCATCACTGAAGCCACCTGATCCAGTCCCTTCTATCTCCAGGAAGCATGGGACAGCCCGCGACGTGGAGGAGGCTCAAGAGATGAGTGAGGATGTGGCAGTCGAGGTCCAGTACAAACGACAACGCCGCGTCCGCAACATTCATACATCCGTGTTCCAGAATAATTTTGACGTTGAACCTGCATTGAGTAATGTTGATAAGGAGTACCAGACCTCTGTTGTTGGGTTTACGCAGTGTCTTATGTATTTGTGTGAGTATCAATACATAGTATAAAACAAAGTCGCTTTCGCTGTATGTCCGTATGTATGCTTAGATCTTTAAAACTACGCAACGGATTGTGATGCGGATTTTTTTAATAGATAGAGTGATTCTTAAGGAAGGTTTGTATGCATATACATATTGCACCCGTGCGAAGCCGGGGCGGGTCGCTATTAACTATAATGTAGAATCGAAAAAAATATACTCTTTGGTTTGCTATTTAAAAAAAAGTCATACGAAAATCATAGAAAAAAGAAAGAGGGAAAAGCAGACTATACGGTTAATGCGGTGGCTGGGCAACTGGCTGTTGTGCTTCGAATAGCGGTTTCGATTCCCGCACGGGGCAACTCTTTGTGTGATCCACGAATTGTTGTTTCGGGTTTGGGTGTCATGTGTATGTGAAATTGTATGTTTGTAAACGCACTCACGACCCAGGAGAAAAATCTAGTGCGGGGGAGTGTTTTAAATGAAATGAAATTAAACCTTTATTTGTGTGTAAAAAAAAGAATCAATAAATGTGGTATGAATTGTACCTAAAATGATATGACCAAAAAAGGTAAATCAAGTTTATTTAGATTCGTTTCAGATATGGTGATAGATCTTGACTTTTTTACTTTTGTTTTTATGTTAAAATGTCCCTGGACATAATTTTAAATCACTCTTGTCGGCAAGAAATTCGAAATTAAATTGCTATGATTTTCCGTTAAGGGATCTTTGAGAACCATTTCAAAAACAAACTTCCTTATTAGATAAATGAACTCTGATCTCGACGCAACAGATAGCCAAAAAATGAAAGCGTTGTTCTCTGTAGAATAAAAAGGCTAACTGTAACTTTATATCTCTTTCCAGTAACAAAAGTGATAAAAGTAAGCAGTGTAGTGACCCGCGTGGTCGGGTCCGTAGCGGCGCGGGCGCGGACCTTACTGGACGACGGGTTCCACCGTCTCTTGGACGCGACCCTGCGCGACTTGTTGAATGAGAGGAGGCTGGCGCATCTCATTAGGTTAGGACATGGTGAGTATCGAGTTCTTGTTCTTCTAATGTTGTAACACAAAAACATTATATTTTTTAATGTTCTTCTAATGTGTTTTAACCCCTCGAGCGTCCTTATGAGCACCCGGTGTATTATAAGAAAAAATGCTCCATGCTGCTTTTTCTCTTTTATAAAATCTATTATTAATGTTTTGTTTTTATTTTGACTGTATTTGTTTATTTTTTTCTAAGGTAATGATCCTTGTTTTCGTGTGCAAATAGCCATATAAATGCATTTTCTTTCTTTCTTTCTTTCTCCAAATGTCACGTGTGCACCCGTTGAATCATAAGGAACGCGGACGCTCGACGGGTTAATGCTGCGTAGTTACAAGTTTGTTTTGCGTAAAGTTATTGAAACGGGTACGCGTTCGACATTCTGATTGGTTAGTTCACTGGAACCGGCCAATCACATCGTTTCGATTACATTTCGTATAGCAAACTCGTTCTAAGCCCCCTGTTGCCCGCAACCTAGGTTGTATATGTTGAGAATTTCGGGAAATCTTTTCGAAGTATTATCTTACACAGCGTAAGAAATTTAAAATTTCATTCACTTAATTCATTGTACCGAAAATTTGTTCATACAAAAGTAGTCTCTAAACATCGAAAATAAGGTTCATAATGCAGTTAGCGGAGAGCGATCACCGAGGACCACTTAGAGATTTAACATTAAGGCAAAGTATGAAAAATGTTTGCAAGTATAGGTTAAAAAAAGTAATAATCATAATCATTTCCAAATTTTTTATTAGTGTTATTTTTTACATTTTTGACTTTTGATCGTATCAATATTTTCGTTCATATTTGTATATTAATATCCACGTGTATCTAACCAGTATATGTTTTATTCCCAGGCCTATTATTCGGCAAGCGGTCGTCGGTCCCCCGTATAGACCCGTCCGCGCAGCGCGTCCAGGCGCGCGTCCAGCTGCAGCGAGCCCTGCCGCGCGCCGCGCTGGCGCCGCGCCTGCATGCCGCCGTACTCAACGCGTTCGACATCATACAGGTTCCACAGCTTAATAAACAGGTACTTATCAGACCCATACATATAAACTAGTAGACCCAACAGACGTTGTCCTGCATATCCACTTGAATGTATAAACAAAAATTCATTCAAATTAGTTCAGCTGTTTATGATAAATAACCGAAACATCGACTGCAGCGCCATCTGCCGGGCTGATTTGTGAATCTAAACCATTCCCAGATCCCCTTGAACACACACAAAAAATTTCATCAAAATCGGTCCAGTCGTTTGAGAGAAGTTCAGTGACATACACAATCACATAAGAATTATATATATAAAGGTTATTAATGTGTTTCGCTGTGTGAGTGAGGTTACCTAAGCCCCAACTGTGGAGTGGGAAACTCGAAACCTCCAAAAGGTCGGTCAGACACTTTTAACTCGTCTGCTATTTCGGCGATACGGATTGCTAACCATCAAAGAAAAGGGACGTGCAATAAGATGACCTTTTATTCCTATAAAAGATAGATACTCTCTTGATTATGAAAGGTTCATCTAAAACACTTCGATTTTTGCAATAAAAATTACTTTTTTTGTTTTTTTTTTGGACAAGCTCCCATATCCGCTTTAACTCCTCGGCACCTGTCTAAAATCAAATATTTCTCGATTATCTTTATGCAATTCAAAATATGCAATGGGCCTTATCCTTAGTCATACCTTCGTCACTAATCTTATCTCAAGGATATTCAAAAATCCGTATATAATAAGTATATCAGTACTATTCAAAAGTGAATCATTCACAATCTATAATCTATATCAGATAAATCGTATCGCAATGTATTTAAATCGGAGATAACATTTTTGTATAATCTTAGAATGACTAAGTAAGAAGCTAATTTAATTAGGAGCAAGGTGCAAGTTCATAACACTTTTCAATGATTAAGGTATTTATAATCTTTTTTATTTTCTTTCAGCTGGTCTACAACTTACTGGATTTATGCATCATGGAGCTATTCCCTGAACTCGGCGCCATAGACAAGAATCCATCCAAAGAATCAAAGAGTTGAGGATGTATATTAATCTTTTCCGGCAAGACGTAATTTATTTTATAAATAAAAACTCAAATAGGCATTTTTTATTTTTGTAAATCGCCAAAAATACGCACGGTTGTCTGATGTAATGATGTTTAGTTAATTTATACGCAACTTATTGTGTAATTGTAAATAATTGTATTGTATAATAATGAATCTATTTTTATAATATTAGTTATTGAAGCAATATTCGTTCACTTGACCCCTCGAGGTTGTAATCGAAAGACCACAGAGTATTTTTAAATGTTTTCAGTGTAGACAAACACCAGAAATAAATTATTTTGATAAATTATCATTGTTTTACTCTTATTTATAAGATTTTTGATGCCCTTTATTCTAAAAGGTAACAGACCATGCAGCGTCAGCGTATCAAGTAGTGTTTGGCCATTAAACTGGAATGCATCTAAAGTACTCTTTCTATACAAGTACAATTATGCTGTATCAGCTGCAGTTGCAAAGGAGAAAGATTCCTCACATCAAATAACACGTTTCCGAACGTTACATCACATTGAAAAGCGTCATCAGTTTCTGAACGTCAGACGTAAACAATCCAATGTTGCCAGTTTATAAAATTTTACAGAGTCATGGGTATTTTTACCCCAAATCTTAGAGATCACAAATAATAAAAAAGTTATCTGTTAATTACTTTTACAATTGATATAATTATGTGACTAGAGTATAACTTCGAAACATCCTGCTATAAAAATGAAAAGTTATTAGTTTAGGAAAAGACTTATTAGAATACACCTACTACAATAATACACTGTTGAATTATCATTATCGATTAATTATCATTATGGATTAATTACGTGTTTTGGTTTGTATTAAAGATTTGTTGTGTAATAAATAAAAAATAACATACTATATTACTAAAACAATGTTTCTTAATCTCACAACACTCCACTGATTTTAATTAGTGTGGGAAAATAAAAAATAATGCTAGCAATACTGGTTATGTTATGTCAGTCTTAATTTACAGTGGAAAGTAAAAGGCGATGGGTGTGTTGCTTTGTGTTTATTTCTTGTTTTAGATAGAAACGAATGAATAAGTTAAAAATTTAGTGTTAAGTTTATCAAAATAATTTAAAGTCATCAGTTTGAAAATCACGCCATTGTAAATATCTGCAAACAAATTCTTGTTTTGATTTGGTCAATGGTTGTGTTACTGATTGTAGTTAAAACAAAATATGAAACAATTGAATAAATTAGTTAGTGTAATGTTTGTGTTAAGTGATGTCCCATGTTTAGAGGTGTATAGTAAACACGCGTGGGCTTGATTGACTGATTAAATTTACAATAATGGCTTTCGTAAATAATTATTGTGTATATAAACATGGATATGAACTTTGATTGTGTTGGTGTTCGAATTTCGAAATCACGATGTCGTCGTCGCCGTGCCAAAAAGGCGGGATGCGCCTCAGTGAAGCGTTGGATAATATGCAGCTTGCGTACAACCCGATAACTAAGCAGTTGCATTTTGTGAGTCCTAAAGTGGAAAAACAGGTTGAGGATACGTCTGATGACATTGATAAGCTGTCAAAGAAGAGCAGTTTCAGTGATGAAGGCAATTTTTCTATATCAACTTGTGAGAAAAGTGATACAAGTGATTCTCCGAAGAGTACTCTGCAGTGGGGCAGTGTGAGTGGTCACCACCGAGGCAAGGATGGTGGTTCCTTCTCAAGTACAGTCTCCAGTCTGTCTGAGTGTTCTCTTGGGTCTGCTGCCTCCAAGGATGATGAAGTTTCGATGTAACTTCACATGACCAGGAGCAGTCTAAACTGAAGAAGAAGGGATTGTCCGGGTTTTTCAGCAGGTAAGTCCATGTTATTACTTAATTCTATAATTAAACAAACTTTAGTACCTAATGGATTAAAGTGGGAAATTTTCCTCTTTCCAAATAGAAAACACATTGTTTTGATTGTTTCAATTTACTGTATTATTATTATTTTCTGATGATGTCTAAATCAAAAACATACCATGACTCATTCCATTCATTCCTACTGCATGTGTGATAACACTTTTTGAAGGAAATTAGACTCAAAACTCTTTGCAAGAAAGTTCATAATCCACTATCATTAGTGTTGCTATTTTTTTTATTCATAATCCTAATGGCATTTGTGGTGGTCAGAGAAAATTATTTGCTAAATACAAATGAGATTAACATTCTTTTCATGCCAGTATGTATTTATATGGACAGTATTGCTTGACATGGTTTTTATGTAATACTGTTATAACATTAGGAAGTGTTTAGTTGCATTTATCTAATTAGAATAAAATATGCTGTCAAACAGAAATATGTAACTACTGCTAAATAACTGGGTTAAAATCCATAACTTTACATAATATTAGATTCCATCTAATAGGAATTCCAATTATTTCAAATAGGTTTTAAACATTACAAATAATAATAAAATTGTGTAGATAATTTCTATTATCCCTAATATTTATAAACCCAATCGGTAACTAAATGTGAACAATAAACATATTATTATAGCAATTCAACATCAATTAGGTATGAATAATATAGTACAAGGAAAATAAACAAACATAAATATAAACGATTATTCTTCTCAAATCATGTTCATGTCATGTTGCCAGCACTAATAATGTACTTAAAATGTTGCCAGACAACATAAATATGCGCATCATACTACATTATCATAGTAAAGATATCCAAATGAGGTAAAACACAGGCAAACAAAGCTTGTCAAAGTAGTCATGTCCATTTCTTCTCAAAAAAAGGTTCATAAAATACTGCATTGTCTTCTATTTTCGTAATACCAGGTTAAAGAAACTTCAAATTCCTACAATCTTGCTTGCCAGTATTCTTTTGTTTATTGTCTATTGTGTTCTCCGATCAAATATCAAACAAAAAATATCTCATTTTAGTATTCACTTCTCTGTACCACATATGAATACTGAATTGAGGACAAAGAGGTTTTATGTATGTAGTTTTGTGTCTAAACTTATTGTAGAGGATTAAAATTTACATGAATACAAAATAAAACAACCACTAGTATGAGAATCATTTATTTTGAATCATATTCAAAGACAGTCATATAATTTAATATTATGTATCATAAATAGTCTTTATATTGTACTTATATATCTAAAGTCTTTGTTTGCTTCCCAGCGGGATTGTTTGTTTCGTTAAAATCGAAACTAGCCTCATGCTCTACCAAAATTTCCCTTGTCGATGCCAACTAACTGGCATGAAAGATCATAAAGCTTTTCTTGATAATCTACTTTCTTAGAGAAACTGTTACTTATTCCTTCAATACAGTTACTAATGTATAATCCACCTTTTTTCTCTATATCTTTGTCAAAACAAGTATGAAGTACAGAAATGGCTCCTTTAGCAGGGGTTTTGAAAAACACTTTCATGAGCCAAGGGAATGCTTTTTTGAACATGGTGTGTTCAAACAGATCTGTATCCACAATGCCAGGGTGAACCGCATAACATTTCACTGGATATCCTTCTTGTTCCATCATCTTGTTGATGTATCGAGCACTCATTAACTGTAACAAACAGAATCATTGCTTAAAATATAACTTAGAATTTAAATAACAAATCTCTTGCTAGAAACCAGTTAGAATACAGTTGTTAGATGAAAGTAGAACATTTCTTTACCTGTGCCAGTTTGGCCTGCGCATACGCCGCCGTCGTATCGTAGTGCTCCTTCATATTGATGTCATCAAAGAATATTTTCCCAGGGTAATGAGCACACGATGTCACATTCACAACCCTGGCTGCCTCGCCGATAGCACCACCCTTTTTCAGAGCTGGCAACAACAAATGTGTCAAATAAAAGTGACCCAGATGGTTGACCGCTAATTGATTCTCAAATCCGTCTTCAGTCACATGATAGTCTCCATACATTATCCCGGCATTGTTGACAAGAAGATGAATAGTCGGGAATTTTTCTAAAACATTCTGTGCAAAATTCTTGACCGATTTCAGCGATTGCAAATCTAATGGAAACGCTATGATGTTATCACCATTCTCCATGTTAGTAGCTAGCTTCTTCATAGCTTCCGGTTTCCTGACACCAGCGATGACCATCATATTTGCCTTCAGCAATCCTCGCACGACTTCGACCCCTATACCGCGAGCTCCGCCCGTGACGACCGCAATTTTCCTCTTCGCGTCTGGCAACACAATTCTGTTTCTCCTGATGTTCACCCAGTCATCAATTAGGCCACCGGCGCCTGCGCCCTGCATGTCTAGCGCGTACTTTAGTTCACTGAGGATGTGCTTCAAGGGTTTATGCCTGTTTATGTACCAATAAACAGCTGCGGCACTTGTCAGAATTACCGCTGAAGCGATTGCCAGCGACATGTTGAGGTTATGTTTTCGTCCGCTCGTCGCGACGCTACGGTTGCACTGGCAGTCGATGCTTTCACTCCGCTGGAAATCCTCAACGCTTTCTCTCGATCCGGTGTTTGTTTGGGTTTATACCGTTAGTCCTGAGGTCGCGCTACTCATTTATCATTAAATGATAGCGAATCCTCAATTTTATCTGTAACAAAAACAGAGAATTAAACGTAAACACATAATGAAATACAACGCGAGCAAAAATCGTGTCGAAGCGTGTTATCGATGCGTGGCCTCCAGTTGTACTGAAAAGGATGACGCAACGCCACTACTATTGATATTAGAACAACGGAAGTTATTGAAGTGTTAAAATATAAAACCTTAGATGTCTTATTGATTTTTTACATTGAGCAGAAGAATAGAGCTTGAGCCAAATACCTGACTATCTCGTGCACTCCACTGGTTTCACAATAATATTTACGGAATGAAATACCATCTGTTATGCGATATGCACGGTGCACCTGACGGTACTGACTTGTTTGTTTTGCAAATTCAATCGGGGCGCATGCGCTGTACGTGCTGGTATTTATCGTTGTACCGTCCGATTTCTAATTATGGCATTAACAGGTTGCGGTGCAGTGGTTATCGCGGTTTCGTTAATATTCTTTATACTGTTGTGCTAATTTTGGCAACTTGTTGAAGAATGGTATCCGATCGACGCTTCCGATTTCCCACCGGAGTGGTTTTTCTGCAGATTTCTTCGGTTGTTGTGTTCGTTCTTAGAATATTACAACCGGTTTAAGACTAGGCATGTTAAAAATGTGACTAACCCAAAACATCGCTTATGAGCGCTTAGTACAACAGCCTTATTTAAATATTTTACGACTTCGGCCAGATGTTTTTATAACTCAACGTTTTATGACTATCCTACAGGCTGGATGATCGAGCTTCAGTGATGAGATATATAAATGTGTTCCCAATATAATGTTATTAAGGGATAGCTACCATTTTTTTTAATACTTCTTCACTAAAGAAGTTCTTTTGTAGTCCCTATTGGTGTCGAGTTCTAAGCGACGTGAACGCGTACCGAATCTACTTCAAATAAATCGGGGTTGAAAATGTAAAGCGACCTGTTTATGTGCTCCCCTTATCCAACATCAATGCTTGACGCAGATAAAGATGGAGGCATATCGCCATCTTTTTCTAACATTCTAGCGGTACGGACTAGTTCCCGCTTCGAGATTTTAATTAAGGGTCTTTGAACTACTGAATGCTGATGGTGCGTGTCGTCTACGTTATGACGCAACACGAAAACGATGTAAAAACGCAAATGCTTAATGTCTACTTAGTCTGAGTAGACTATGACGTCATTCACCGTTAGAGATTGATTTAAACAATACACATCGTGATAGTGAAGATGAATAAATAATAGTTCTTGTTTAGTAGTAACGTCAAAGGACTGTTACGAAATTAAACGCTCTATCTTAGCTCTATCTATTGATAAATCAACAATTTTAGATTCTTCTGATAACTTTGAAGGTATTTTGGTGATAAGCACATCAGTCCATTGAATGAGCAAACTAAGATCCAGACCTTCATCGGTATTGTGCCAAAATTTTGTGTCAAACACTTAACTATTTTATATTAGGCCCATTTGCTAGCATAAAAATTTAAACAAGGATAAATCTAAGAAACTTTGGTACTAGTGAAGTAATGGCGAACGTGGCGTAACTACGATGTTACGGTTAGTCGATGACAAAATGCAGGTCAAATTCCAGGACAACCGCAACACAAAGGTTTTGAGGACTTTTTGTGTTACCTACAAGCACAACGCCTCATAGTGGTTGGGTTTTATAAGCACTCCAAACAGAATTGACGTTAAATAAATATAGCTTTACCCATGCCTTCAGACATAAGATCCAAGAGATTTCAGAATATTATTGCAAGCGGAACGTAAAACAATAAATAGTCCTGCCTTGTTTATGCAATTAATAACGAATCTTTCATTGAAGTCACCATTGCAGATAAAATCGATGTGTTTACAACCTGTATAAATAAAACAAGGCTTTCAAACAACTCGCAAGAAAGCAGAGAATAAATTAAAAATAAAATACAAGCCCTTCGAGATCCGGTTGGAGAAACAATACGGCATTAAGCTAAAGCAAACTTGCTGCATACGTAATAACATACAATGGCCAATTCCATGCACTCGAGACTTGACCGGGGAAACCTGTTTTTCAAAGGCGCTGTGCCCATGGACTCATACTACCGCTATGCTGCTTGACCTTGGATGCTTTAAAACTTACCCTCAGCATCGCTGGTTATGTGCATCGCGAATTAAAGACATTCTTCTTTGGAGCAGCAATGAAAACAACGCATTTGGTCATTAACGAAAGCTTTTCGGTTTTGTTGTTGCGGTTTTAAACTTCCTATTAACAGACTGCATTCAGCGCGTTGAAGCGTTTGTGCGAAAGAATGCATAGTGAGATTTAAAGGTGTTTTCGAATTAGCACTTGGTTGAAAGCATGTGCTTATGTTACAGGTTTATCGAGCAGTGAGCTCTAAGGACTCAACGCTTAGCATATGCCGCAAGACATTCGATACGTCAGATGAAACGAAAATAGAAAAAAAGGACAGGTTCCCCGAGAGCTGACATTTAAGACAAAGTAAATAAGGTTTATCGAAAGTGCCTATTCTGGGAAAAGTTTTAAAGTAACAATAAAATGGATTTAGAAGCTCCTTTTATTGTCATGGTAGCTAAAATAAAATTGGCACTCGGGAAATTGTTCCACCTTTTAAAGAATATAAAGAATGCTCTTTACTACATGGATATGATCGACCTAATAAAGTGCTTTATGTATGTATGGTAATGATAAAGTAACTGTTTATTGTACAGCTGGTGTTTCTAACCGGTTTTCCGGGTCATCCCTCATTAGTTACAAGGCCCTCAAATTAACAAACTGCTAAATACGGAGACCAGTTATCGTCTGTACTGTACACAGTATTGTCGTTTCGCCTTGGAGTTTTAACAGCAATGTCGTATGTATAAAAAAGTTGACATCAGCTGTTTAACCAAGGTTTCATTCATGAGCTGGTTTTTTAACTTATACAAGTGACAATATGTTGATTTTCTACGCTTTTGCTGCTAAAGTGAGAGTAGCTGCTACCAACTTTAGCTTAGTACTACCTTATACAACATGGTTTCTCCCGAACCTAACACATTTGGTTGGTTGGGGAATTCGAATCCGGTTTCTACACTTTATAATATGAACTGTTGTGATAATTGAAGTTGTTGTACGAGCAAAATATGACTTTGAACTGGCGATTTATCACTCAATAAGGCTGTTTTTCGTACTATTATGCAAATGATTTATTATCTCAGTGTTGTTTTCCTGGTTTTGTTTTTGTCGTGACTAACTTAAAATCTTTTTCAACCGACTTCAAAAAAAGGAGGTTATAAAAATATTAATTTGGTCTTGCTTAGTTTACAAGATTTTAGAAATGTCAATTTGTTGTTGCTTCAATGTGATTATACATTCATTAATGCTTAACCAATATTGCTTATTAAATTTTTATACATATTCTTCGAAATGCCAATATGGCTTGCAAAACCTCAAATGAGATCATGTGAAAGTTTTCTTACTTAGGAATAATTTTGAAAAGGTTATTAAATATTTGTACGGCTTCTTCGACGCAGACAAGTGATTAGCTCAACGCATCGCAGGAATGTTACAAGCACCAACACCAAGCCAGTTCCCTATACACTTAACGACTAGCATGGTTCACTGATTTGAAAGAATACCTTTCTGTTCTTTTTTTAACATAAATACGCACATCCTTCGACCACAGGCTTACCAGAAAGAAATTTCATGGTTGAAGTAACATTGACAATGTTCTATTACGAGCCGGTCAAATTCATAGTTAGTTATATTTGGACTCACTGACGTCAGGACAATTTTATCGACCATTACTTAATTACGTTCTTCTAATGACTAACGTGGATTACCGGAATTCCATTGTCACCTGTATAATTGGCATATAATTCTACATTGTCAGTCGAGCCAGCTTTAGTGACGCCTTTGATTACGTCATTCTCTTACTCATGTTTAAATGCACGTTGCAATTATGTCACCGGTAGATTGAACTCCTTTGTCATCTTTCAAGCATACCGGAAATGGAGTATGATGATAAATGTTAAAGTAATTTTAAGTGTTGCTATTTAAAACTGGGCTAATCTGTTTGCTTAGTTGTGAAACTAAACTAAACTTTGATAAGTTTTGTAGAACAAACAAATAGAACAATTGTAAGCGGTCAAGAGATGGCTTGAATATTCGTAGATTAGATAAATGTTACGCCCAAAATTCTTTCCGTATCGTTACCACATCACTTACGGTTATTGCACAGCCCCCTCTGTCTAGCCATAGGGGAGACTCATCTCCCCTCAATTCAAAGCCAATGAAACCACTTCAAAAACAATAGGAACAAAAACAGGGATAAATATAGCTGTTGCCAACGCGCTATGAAAATAGTTGTTATGGGGAAAACATTCACATTCGAACTACATGCTCCCAATAACTTCGAAGAGAATAAAGGAAATATTTCCCTCATTCCTTTTATTGTTAGCCTTTATGGCAAAACAGTACCTTATCACATAGAAGAGAAAAATAAAAATTGCCGTAATTACGCTGATGAAGTAAATCATGATAAAGGCAACGTAAACTTTCATAATGACTCAACAGATATTTATTTAGCTGGATTTGCAGTGCAATGTTTCTTTGTGGACCCTGATTACGGCATGAAGAAAATATTTTTGAAACGGTTTAATATTCTGCATGCAGCGTTCTTGGAATTTTAAATGTGCACTGTTTGAATTTCAAATCAGAAACCGAATAGCACGAGACACAAAGGCTTTGCAATTCTTTTTTATTGAATCATAAAGTTTGAGAAGCAAAATCGAAAATATTGGATTCCATAGTCCTAGGCTAAATCTTTTAGACTTTAGTACGACTGAGTTATGATCATTT